CCGGCGAACTCTTTTAATGTTGCTCCGAGGCTCTTGGAGTTTGAGTTTGTTGTATGAGAAGAAGATATGTAAACCTTAGCGAGTGAGGTTTATATAGAGAGAAAGAGTTATGTGAATTTGACGTTATAAACGAAATTTACAAAAGCAGAAAAAAAAAAAAGACTATAATGTGAAAGAGGAAATTTTTAAAAAGATCAGAGAGAGGCAGCTTCTTTTGTTGTCATTGTCAGACAGACCATGATTTATGTCACTTAGTTGTACTATGGTGACTGTTATGGAAATTTCAAATTTTTGTTACAGTGTCTTAGCTTCTTGCACCTAAAACATTTAGATTCTTAACCAATTTTATATATCTCAACATATATAATCTTTTGCTTATGTATCAACTGTTGTTTTATGTTGATATTAATGTAAAATTTTCATATTAATAAGAAGGTTTGGAATTACTTATAGAATAAGCAGAGTTTATTTTTTTGCCAAATTTGTTTAAAAGGGGAAACACGAAAGAGTTGGAAGTTTCTATACGATTTATTGTGGTTTTTTATTTAGGTAAGCAAATATAGATATTTATTGAGTTCGGTTAGTTATAAATAATATTCTTTCAGTTTCATATAATTATTGTTAGGTTTCTATATTATTTATTGTGCGTTATATTAAGGTAGTTAAATAAGTATTTTATACATTGTTTTTTTTTTGGGTAAGGAGTATTTTATACATTGTGTTGTTCGATTAGTTTAATAAATTTATTTACTTGCATTAGAACTTTCATTAGTTTACTAGGAGTACTTTTATTTATTGATTTACCTTTACCATTTTCTACTTTACTTTTCTACAAAAATGATTATAAATGCGAATTATCACCATGTATTTTTAGTCATATGAAAGTTGGATTTTGGACAAATTTCTATAAGATAAAATATTGGGTTTGATCCGAAATCGTAATGATCGTGAGATACATGATCATCATTCTCAATTATTTCTTATGCAAACAAGTCAAACTTCTACATTTGTTTTTTTTTTCTAATTGTTATTATCATTCCAAGCCATATTATAATAATATGTCTATGGATATAGTTTCTTGCACTATAGTTGTGATGGTTACCACCATAACTTCCAAACGTATGCGTTTTTTAGCCCATGCAATCTCCCATTTCCATTATCTAATTATATTATATACTTTTTATAAATATATTACGCAACTTATTATTGGTATGTTTGATTGAATGATAGAGATTTGAGTCAACCAAAATCTGACGAGTAACGCGTCTAACGAATCAATTACATAAAAAGTAAAAACTTGCGAGACAAAAAAAAGAGATCTAACTCTGTCTGAGTCGATTAAAGTTTTTGGTCGGTTAGAAGAATTCTAGGCGAAATGGTTATAAAAGTTAGATGTTTATAATTAATTAGGTTTAGTACTAATTAGGTTCATAAGCGTCATATGATTCAACCATGTAAGATGTCAAAACAATTCACTTTGTATAGTTGTAAAAGATGTCAAGATAAGTCATTACTTCATGAGCAGTTTCAGTTCGAGGTTTTTATATGATCATCATACTATGGTTTTATAGATTCAACTATTCAAGTAATTTCAAATCACCAAGTTCAGACTCGTTTCTTGTCAGTTCAATAAAGGAAGAAAAAGATGATTCGTCAGTCACTTCATGAACTGATTTTTTTGTTTAAAGTCAGTTTTAACGCGTGTTCCCATTGTATAAATTTTGTATGCATGTATTTTGTTTTTGCGTTGAATTGTTGAGAAATGAGAAGTTTTTTTTTTGGAAAATTGGCGTAGTATTTTTTTTAAGTCAATTTACAACAGACTTTAAGTTGGATTCATGATACTATTTATTCCTAAATTAACTTCGATATTTTTAAAAAGAAATATGATTTGTTATTTCATGTGAAAATACTTTGAAGAGAAAACATTATTTAAAGATGTAAAAAAGGAATAATTTTGTGGATACACCGACCCACACGTCTTCAACTTTTTAGAGTTCAACCTTTTCCTTTACGTTTTTTTTTGTTTGGTCATTTGATTTCGATAATTTCACACAATACGTTTGGGTAAAAAGATGGGCAAAATCCATTATCTTTTTTTTATAAAGTTGTTACAAATTCAAGTATATAAATGTACAAAGACACACAATCATAGAAACTCAACTATTCAGTAGTTGACCAAATGATTTGAAACTATTATACCATAAACCAAAAAAAAAGAAGAAGCAAATCTATAATAAAGAAGTTATTGCAAATTGTAAACCCATGCATTTAGTTTTGGGAATTTCATTCATTTACATTTTGAAGCAAATTTAGTTTGATTTATTGCACAATCAGAAACTTTAATTGTAATGAATAAGGAGATTTTTTTGTTTTTTTTTAATAAAAAAAGGAGAATTAAAAGAAGTCTCTTAATGGGGTTTGTAGGTGGTCATTGTCAGTTTGTCACCGTGTCAACTGGGGCTAATCCCGGCGCACTACTACGCATAGTTCCAGAAATTGCGAGAAAAAACCGCAAACAAAGAAATTAATTCAATTGCATTCACATAAATAACAACAACAAAAAGAAAGAAAATATAATTCGTTCATATCCTATACGTAATGAAAACACGAATAACTTCACAGGAGAAGTCTATAATGCGATTTACAAATATATGTTGTTTTACAAATTTTTCTATTACAATGTATAAATATATGTTTTTTTTCTTTCTAGAGCGACTTTAAATATGTGTTCTGTGAACGACTTTGAAATGTATTTTATTTCCACAAGTTTACACAAATAGTGAGATAGACCAAATCATTTTTCTAAACTATTTCGAAACCTCATCATATCCAGCTAGAGTATTTTACTATTTAGAGCTGGTTATACTTTCGAAGTACTACTTATTAATCTTTTCATGTCCGTATTTTGGCTAGTGCAACTCTAAACATACACCCTATACCAAACTATATATCTTTTACCAGCAAATGTTGAAATACAAAGTTCACCATCTAAAGTAGCACCTTCTTAAACTGTTAAACAGCTCATTAGGAGTGTTTATTTCATCTGATGTATTTCTTAATTTTGGATATTATATAAGTATATAATAGCCAAATATCCCAAGGTTTGGATTTCAGTTTTATGTCGGTATATATACATATACAACAGTCTAGCAAAATGCCAAAAGAATATAAAAACTCTTTCGGAAGATTAGTAGATTACTACAAAATTTTATTCTGTCTTTCTTTTTATTTTCTCCGGATTAGAGTTTTATATATATGTTTATATTCGGGTATATAAATAACATCGAATGGAATAATTGATAAGTTCTGGTACGGTAAAACACAGATTAGGACACTTTGACCTAAATCTAAACTCCTAATTAAAAATATATAGTAGATCACTGCACGTTTGTGGCATTGTCTAAATACCATTCATTAACAAGACTACCAATTACTGTGTATAATATTTCCAACCAAATACGTATACTCTACCGATGATTACGTATCTATGCATGTATGTACATACACACAACTTGTATACAAAGTTGCAAACAACTACGATCCATCTAGAAGTGATTAACATTTGCGGACACGTACCGTCACTAATTATTACAACAAACGAATCAAAATATTGATTAACGGATCGATAGATATATTACTTATAAATAAACGCGAACTAGCTTTAGATAAGGTGACACCTTGGGAAATAGGATTTTCACCGTAAAACGTGGGATCGTCGACGTCGGAGAATCTCAATGTATTGGTTTAGTTTACTTTACAAAACTCCGCTGACTCGGTTCTGATATTGAATATTACGTATCTGTTACGTATATTTATACGTTGAATGTTTGATTAATGATTGATCTGGTATACGCAACGCAACCATAACGTATAAAATATTATGGCCACCAATCACCATTGATATCATACTACTTGTTCCGTTTAGTTTATATGATGCTTAAGCTAAAAGCAAGATGATTGTATAATTTTTACCAAAAACAAAAAAAAAGACGATTGTAATTGTTTTTTTTTTTGTGTGTAATTAAATAAATAAAACTAGCTAGTCCAATCAATAATAAAAATAAGTCAACCAAATACGAGAATACTTGAAAGATGTAAATAATAACAAAACATGAAAAATAATAAAATTCCAGAAAGGTTTTGAATATATATATATATATATATATATCGTTTTGTGTATAAGTCAATGTTGTATAATTCAGTTTTAGGGCTCGGTTATTGTTTGGATTATTGTTGAGTTAGTGTCGTGTTGGGTCATTCATTTTCTTCGTGGGCTCTTTTGTAGTGTTATTCCTAAATTAAAGCTTGAGGGCTAATAATCTTCCAAACTAGCCCAGCAAGAAAACAAAGTCAACAACTTTTTGGTGAGCTTACTAATGTTAGCCATGAAATGCAATTATATTAAATCAAAAACTTGTTGGTTTTGATTCTAGTTTTGATATGGTTAACATAAACTCAAATTTTTTTGATATAAAAATAAATAATAAATTAAAATTACAAAGGTGAAATTAGATTTTTAATTTTGTTGTAAAAAATCATGGATATAAAATTAACTATATTTTTGTTTTTTTGGATTTTAAATGATACATTTTTATTATTACCTATATTTTAATCTCAACATAAATTAAATACTAGACGTTAAATAAAAATAACAAAGGACTTTTCTTCTTCTTTTCTGAATTTTCCCGTTTATTTACATGAAAAAAATAGTAACGTTTGTGTTGATATGTGTAATAAATAGTGTTGTTGAAAGGTCAGCAAAAGAGCTCTAAGAAGATAGTGGGGCCCATTAATATTATCTTGTTCTTCTTCTAAATCGTCAGATTCTCTGTATGCGATATAATTTGGACGGTGAGGATTTAAATTCAATTTCCAATAACAAATCATCGATTTTACGCCTTTTTTTATTTTATTTATTTGTTGGTAATAAAAAGGTTTTGAGTTTCATTACCAAAATACAGTCATTAATATACTTTCTTTTGTCAGCGTACATACATATATACACACACGCGGTTTGGAGTTTTTGGGTGTGCACTGAGTTCGATAAAGAAGAAGAAGAAGAAGAAGAGGAAGGATGAGTCAGATCGCGAGACGGCGGAGGAAAGGTCGTCCGTCGAAGGCGGATCTGGCGGCGCGGCGGCTTAGTAGTTCGTCTCCTGGTGAATCGGGATATGAGCTCCGGCGAGGTCAAAGGCTGCGAAATGTGAGGTACAACTTCGATTTCGACGATTACTTCGACGAGGAGGAAGAGGACGATGTGGAAGAGGAGAAGAGGAGGCAGAAGAAGCTCAAGCAAGTTCTTAAGCTCAACCAGAGCCGCGCTAGAGCTGACCCTCCGATTAAGAGCCGAGCGCGTGTGAGGCACGCGTCTGATTATGAAGATGAAGAAGAAGATGATGATGATGAGGAGGAGGAGGAGGAGGAGGAAGAAGAAGAAGATGCGAGTGAGAAGAGGAAAGTGAAGAAGAGGAAAATTAACCGTCAAGACCAAGAGGATGAAGAAGTAGAAGAAGACAAGGATAACGATGTGGGAGAGGAAGAAGAAGAAGAAGAAGATCAAGATGAAGAAGATGATGATGATAAGGTATGTACGGAAACCCTAGAAAGTGATAAACTTTTTTCAAGATTATTTATAGTATATATAGGCTTTGAAGGTTTTCACTCTCTGTGTTGCTTGCAATGAGAGTGTTGTTGTTATGTTGGGGATTTGGGAGATACTTCAACTGTCGGGTCAACTGTCGAAACAAAAAAAACTAACTTATGCTGTCTCACTCTCACTCTCTCTCTCTCTTCCCACAGAATCTGATCACGCTTCCCACCTTTCTCTCTCCATTACCCATCTCTTTTACTCTTTCTCTCTCTCTCTCTTCAAATTCTAGATGTGTTGTTGTTGTTGTTGTCTCACACTATCTCTGTCAATCAGTTCTGTCTTTTTTTCTTCTTTGTCTGGAATTGGATTTTGATTCATAGACATTTCTGATATGTTTACTCTGTGTGGATTTTGTTTCAGGAAAGGAAGAGGAGAAGCGCTCCTGGTACCAGTGGTATGATGCATTTCTGTATTACTTGATATTGACCTTTGATTATCATGACTTGTCTAATCTTAATCTGACTTGGTGTTTAATTAGGGACTCAGTGTGATCATTCTTTAGAAACAACACCCATCCTTGACAAGAAGCCGTTGGAGTTGATCCTCGACAAACTTCAAAAGTACACAACTACTCGGAATCCCTTGTTTTTGTAGGTTGTCGATCACATTGCTTAACTTAACTTACTTGGAGTTTTTTTTTTCAAACAGGAAAGACATCTATGGTGTGTATGCAGAACCGGTTGATCCCGAAGAGGTAAAAGTTGATTCCCTGGAGTTATTGGAGATTAATGTTGCCTTATTTGATATATTTTGATTTTGTGTTTGTGTTTGTAGCTTCCTGATTATCATGATATGATAGAGAATCCCATGGATTTTTCCACAGTGAGGAAGAAGCTTACGAATGGATCATATTCTACATTGGAAGAGCTTGAGGTGTGTGATAAGTTTGTTTCTCAACTTTACATGGAGAGCTTTTACATAACTGATTTTATAGCTTTTCAGGATATTTCTTCTTTGTATAGTAATGGGTTTGTGATAACACTGCTCTAGTGTATTTTTGCTAGGATCAGGTCTATAGTCCATCATCTATATCGTTGCTAAGCTAATTTTGGAACTGTATTTTTTTTTTTTACTGCAGAGCGATGTCTTATTGATTTGCTCAAATGCGATGCAATACAATTCCTCAGATACTGTGTACTATAAACAGGTAGATAGCATTTTCATGTTTTGTCACCAATTTTCTTTCTCTGCATTAGTTTTTACTTCCTGCCTGCTGGGGTATCTAACTCCATTTTTATTAAATTATTTCTACTAGGCAAGGACTATTCAGGAAATGGGGAAGAGGAAATTCGAGAAGGCAAGGATTAAGATTAAACGTGCTGAAAAAGAGCTTAAAACAGATGAAAAAGTGAAACCTGGCAGTTCTGTGAAGAAGCAAGTGAGACAGCCTTTCAGTCGAAATGGTCTAGAGCCTGTTGGTTCGGATTTCTCCTCTGGTGCAAACCTTGCTAGTGTAGGAGCTTCTCAAAACGAGCCTGGTTCAACTCAAACTGGTGGACATGAAAAGCACAGCTACATGGATGTGCCTTTTGAGGGAAACACATCCGTTGTAGACAGTCTAGAGAAAGCAGAAGACTTATCATCTGGTATGATTCTTTGTTATAGATTTTCTAATGGCTCTTTCTCTCCAAGAAGATATAATATTTCCTTTTTTCTAACGACAATTTGGATTTTCCATTTTTAACACCTCTTCTAGGAAAGGGTCTCTTTGGTAAATGTGGGAGGAAGCTGTCTGTTGTTGAGGAAGACTGCTCTGCAACTTATGGAAATTCGGATCAGCAAGCCGATAGATCTGAGTCTATTTTCTCAACATTTGAGAGTGAAATCAAGCAGTTTGTTGCTGTAAGTGATAATCATTATCTCCAAAGTCTCATTCTGCTATTTTCAGTCTCTTTTAGTATTTATTAACTTTCTAGACTAAATCTTTTCCCGTATCATCAGGTAGGACTTCATGCAGAACATGCATATGGTAGGAGCCTTGCACGCTTTGCTGCTACTCTTGGACCCGTTGCATGGAAAATAGCTTCTCAGCGAATCAAGCAAGCACTACCTGCAGACTTTAAATTTGGTCGGGGATGGGTTGGAGAATATGAGCCGCTTCCTACACCAGTACTTCTATTTGAAACCTGCACACCTAAAGAACCACCTAAAGAAGCATCCGTGTTTTCAAAGCCCAAGTCAAAAGCTGCTGCAAAGAAGAATGAGACACTGTTTAAGACTCCTCTACCTGCAAAGGAACAAAAGAGTAATAGACCTGTTCGAGATGGAAACCATGCTAGCCCGTTTCCAACATCTATTGGGGCTGTGTCAGAAGGGATTCCATCTTTTGTTGCTACTCAAGTAGGAAACCTAAAATCTAAAAGCCAGCATGAATATCAAAATCCTTCTCCGCTAGATTTTGTTAAGCCTCAAAATAGGATAGCTCAGCAAGTAGAGCTGAATTTACCACCACCAGCAGAACAAACCAGTTCTGCTTCTGCTTTTGTTTCGGAAAATCGAAGCTTTGGAAAATCAGATACAGTGGCATCATACAGGTCGTCCAGTGACATGAACATGATGAGGAACATGACTCCTACAGATTCTGAACATTATAAGCATCGGATGACTAATAACGGGATCTTCTCTGGTGGATATAGTAATGGAAAAGTCTCTGCCAATGTGAACAACAGAATGTTTGATCTATCTTCTGATTCTGCTAATCAAATGAGTCGCACAGCAACAACTTCACAACAACCCATGAGACAACAGAGTCAAAGCCACGGGGAACAAGCACAGTTAATGAGAAACTTCAATGAGAAGGCTCGAACACAGCACAACTCCGCTCATAATCACCCTAGATCTAATACCACGCCTAATGGTTCGTCACCAGTATCCGCAAGAAGTGAAGATTCAAGCAATGCTTCCATGGCAGCAGCACGAGCATGGATGTCTATAGGAGCTGGAGGGAATAGTAAACAAACATTTGAAAATCATAGTATTCCGAAAAGCAACCAGATTTCTGCAGAGTCCTTGTATAATCCTTCAAGGGAACAACTTCACCCACAAGCTTTTAGACCGAGAGACCCCGAAGAGACACAGTTCCATCCTCAAAGGAATGGTTTCCCTTTCCAGACATTTGTGCAACAGCCTGTCCACGGGATGATGAACGGAGGATCCCAACCATTTCAGAACAACCGACCAATTGTTTTCCCTCAGATGGCTCCTCCAACTTCTGATTTTTCAAGATTCCATGTCCAGTCTCCATGGCGAGGAGGCATTACTCCTCAACTCCAGTTAAAGCAGAGACAAGAGAACCTCAATCTCCCACCAGATTTGAACATCGGAGTTCATTCGCCTGATTCTCCTGCAAAACAGTCTTCTGGTGTCCGTGTCGATTCCCAACAGCCTGATTTGGCGCTACAGCTCTAAATAAAACAGTCATCAAGAACAAACCCAACCATTTCAAGGAGCATCTTGAGTACTGTCCCAAGCAGATGTTATCGCCACAGCCTTTTTTTTGCCTGTTTTCTGTGCTCATCATTGCATCAGGCGATATAAGGCTGGATATGTAATTGATCGCTGTGGAAGAAAACCGAAACAAACATAAACCCAAGACCTCTTTAGCCAGGTGAGTCGACATGTTAATCAATATCTTTACTTAGGCTTCTTTATTTTTATTTTTTGTGTGTGATGTGGTTAGTTTTGGTTTGAGGTTCAAGCCGGTAAAGTGTTATCAGTCTAGTGATCTAAGAGTTGAAATTGGAGAATGTTTATTGATGTCGAATCCCCGGTTAGCTAACTATTTTCCTAACTTAGATGTTACAATCAAACCAATCTAGTTCTCTATTCACCTGATTCCAAGAAGTCTATGGTCTTCCTACACTTCTCTATTTGTTATATAAATGGATTATTATAATTATATCATATCATAATAATATGACCATAGTGAAGGATGTTTGGCCGAGTCTTTGACTCTAAATTATTGCAAACACAAGTGGGTCGCGTCATTAACTTTGAAAGAAGGAAAGGTCACAACAAGAGTTTCAAAGATAAGAGAAGAGGCCATAAGACTTGGTATGGAAACTATAAATAAATGAGTATTAATGAAGACAAAAGAGTATTAATCTTCCCCTTTGGTCGTAATCTCCGGACTCTTGAATGTTTGATACACCTATGACCTATGTTGAAACGCTGAGTAAGTAGAATCTAATCTAATAATGCTGTGTCAAATATGCCAATCTATCCAAACTTAACAGTTGTGTAAGAAAAAGAATTGTGTTATTTGAAAGTTGAAAATATTTGACCAATCTTGTAAAAATAAGTTGTTTCTACATTTGTAAGAAAAGCTAATTATGTAAAAAGAGAGTCGTAAGAAGAGGACTCAATAAAGGTTGGATGTGAAAGTAGGGATATGAACATAAGCGCGTATTACAAATGTCATTGCCTAAAATAGAAGGTTAAAAAAGGAACATTAGCAAATAATACAAAGAAAAAACAACCTGATCTTGTGAGTTGTCTTGAGAAGACTTGTGTTGTGTCCAGAGAAACAAAACACTGTCAATTTTTTTTTCTCTCTCTCTCTTCTCTTTAATTTATTTATTTATATCTCTTTTATTTCTTGTTTTTTCCGTTGTAATTTTACATCGGAAATTACCAAAGTTACCTCTTCTCCCTGTTTCCTCCCCTCTTCGTCCATATTTTCTCACAGTAAAAAAACAAATACAAAACAGAGACAACAAATATTTTTCCGATGGCCTAACTTGGGGGGTGAAAATCACTTTGTGTGTCTCACCTTTCTCAAATCCCCCCAATCATAAGCGCCATTCCGAAATCTGTTTCTTTTTGTTCTTTCTATCTCTTCTTGAATCAGCAAGGGAAGAAGCTATGATGATTTACGGAGGAGGAGCAGGGAAGGACGGTGGATCAACCAATCATACATCAGACGGAGGAGTGATATTGAAGAAAGGTCCATGGACGGCGGCTGAAGATGAGATACTTGCTGCGTACGTTAGAGAGAACGGTGAAGGAAACTGGAACGCTGTTCAGAAAAACACAGGCTTGGCTCGTTGCGGCAAAAGCTGCCGTCTCCGATGGGCCAATCACCTCCGTCCTAATCTCAAAAAAGGCTCTTTCACCGGTGACGAAGAACGTCTCATCATTCAGCTTCATGCTCAGCTTGGTAACAAATGGGCTCGCATGGCTGCTCAGGTATATATATATATATATCAACTATAACCTATTATATTATTACTAGGTGTTACTTGCGTTTACCGTTAACTAATCTATTTGCAAATTTTACTAATTAGCTGCCGGGAAGAACAGACAACGAGATCAAGAACTATTGGAACACGAGGCTGAAACGCCTTCAACGCCAAGGACTTCCTCTTTATCCTCCAGATATTATCCCTAACCATCAACTCCATCCACATCCACATCATCAACAACAACAACAACATAACCATCATCACCATCAACAACAACATCATCAACAAATGTATTTTCAACCACAATCTTCACAACCAAACACACCATCATCCTCACCTCTTCCATCTCCAAGACCATTAAACGCAAACGCAAATTCCTCATCATCCTTCACTTTCCATACCACAACCGCTAATCTCCTCCATCCACTTAGCCCTCATACTCCAAACACACCGCAAACTCCTTCTCAACTCTCTTCCACACCGCCTCCACCGCCACTTTCCTCTCCTTTATCTTCCCCTCGCAACAACCAATACCCGACTCTTCCTCTCTTCGCCCTCCCGCGTTCCCAAATCAACAGCAATGACGCCAACTTCACTTTCCCTAGACCTCCACCTCTCCTTCAGCAACAGCCTTCATCACTGCTCGCAAAAAGATACAACAATACTAATACTCCCCTCAATTGCATCAACCGTGTCTCAACCGCACCATTTTCCCCTGTTTCAAGAGAATCCTACACTTCCTTCTTAACATTGCCTTACCCTTCCCCAACCGCTCAAACCGCTACTTACAACAACACTAATAACAATTACTCTTCCTCTCCTTCCTTCTCTTTAAACCCTTCATCTTCTTACCCTACATCAACTTCTTCCCCAAGCTTTCTCCACTCCCATTACTCTCCCTCTTCCACCTCCTTTCCTACCAATCCGGTTTACTCCATGAAACAAGACCAGCTCCCTTCAAACCAAATTCCCCAAATAGAGGCCTTCAATAACTTCAACAGCTTCACAGACAATGAGAGACAGAATCATAACCTTAACAGTTCCGGTGTTCATAATCATAGAAGAAGTAGTAGCTGCAGCCTCTTAGAGGATGTCCTCGAAGAGGCTGAAGTTTTAGCCGCAGGAGGCAGAGGCCGGCCCCTAAAACGAAGACAACTCACAGCTTCTCCTCCGAACCACCACAACAACGACAACGACAACTTCTTCTCGGTTAGTTTCGGAGATTATGATTCTTCTGACAACATATGTTCCTTACAAGGTAAATTAAAACCGCTCAAAACGCTTCATATCTAAATTAAACATGTCTCCAGGTAAAAAAATCTAAATGTTTTTTGACTGAAACGCAGATTTGAAATCAAAGGAAGAAGAGTCTCTTCATATTAACACAATGCAAGAAGACATAGCTAAGCTTCTTGACTGGGGAAGTGATAGTGGAGAAATCTCTAATGGACAATCATCTGTTGTTACTGACGACAATCTTGTTCTTGATGTTCATCATCTCGCTTCACTATTCCCGGCTGATTCTACTACAGCCGTGGCAACGGCAACAAACGACCAGCACAACAACAATAATAACAATAATTGCTCATGGGACGACATGCAGGGATTAAGCTAGAAAAAACAAAAGTCTGAAAAGAATCTACGGACCAAGATCAAAAACTAACAAAGAACAGAGTTTTTTGATCTTTGATTCATTGATTGTATTGTATCATCAATTTTTTTTTTTTTTTTTTTTTTTTTTTTTTTTAAACCTGTATTTGTTGCAAATCTTCTGTTATCTATTCAATGCTAAATTAATTCCCTTTTTTAATTTTGTGATTATATGTTCCATGTATTGTTTTTTCCAACTACTACAAAGTCTTGACTACTTTAATTTTGGATATTATATAAGTAACAGAGCACAAAACGTGCCGTTTGATCGCGGATGGTCAAATTTGTATGCATTAATGCATATATATATAAGAAGCTTTACCTAGTGAGCAAATTTGCCAAGTTTCTGAGTGCTTTTTAGTAGGCTTACTATTACATCATTGATCTTATACGAGTGCTGAAGGGAAAATCATTTTTCTCAGCAAAACAGTTACCAACGTTAGAGATCAAATACATTAAATCAAAACAAAATCTCTTAGATAATCTTTGATTTTTGGAAGAAAGAATATATATATATATATTTTTTTATTATTTCAACAACAAGAAGCTTTTGGCTTTTGATATGGCCACTACACTCACGTTTTGCCAGAAGCAGTTACAAATCATTTATAAGACCGAGACTTTACAGTCAGTCCCGAACAAATGGTGTGTTTACCGGATAGCACCGGTCATATTAGCTCCCCCGAGGTTTGCCCCTTCCATATGCTGTTACATAAATATATATACCGCAAAGGGTTAACCATTTAAGCTCTCTACTCAGAAACTTGAAGAAAAATTCGAAAAACCATGGAAACCAATTGCTGGCCGATATCATCAATCTGCCCATCAATGTTTTTGAAATTTCAATGCCAAAGTAATGTTTTTGGACTTACCGCTTCTCGCAGGTTCACATGCCTCAGGTAAGCTCGTTGAAGGTTTGCTCCTTTGAAGTTGGCATTACTCAACTTTGCACCCTATACATGCACCTTTCTCATAACAAATCTTCCAGACACTAGCAAAAATCGGTTTAAGGCTGAATATAAAATAGTCAATATAAGGAATTTCTTACCTTCAAATTTGCACCTTCTAGATTTGCTCCCTCCAAGTTGGCATTTGTAAGGTCTGCATTCTGAAGAAAGAGAATCAAACTTTATCACCAAATCACGCTATACTCATAAACACCTTCTGGATACATGGGATTGGAAAGTGAATTAAACCCAGGAGTAAATCTGATTGACATAGGCAATCGATAACCTTTATCATGGTGAAAAGTCCAAGTTAAAAGTTCTAATCCTACACAAACTACTAAAGGCACCTGCAAGTGTGCAGTGCGGAGATCTGCTCCACAGAAGCTGCAGTCCACTAAGCAGGCATCTACAGTACAAAAGTCCAATTTCTTTTATAGTCAAATTATGTTTTATATGTGACATTTTATTTTATGGCTGTCTAAAAGATCATTAGCAAGCAAGATTAGGCTGATATGCACCTTGTAAATTTGCACTCTGAAGATTTGTACCAGCTAACAAGGCTCCTCTAAGATTTGCGCTGGTAAACTCACACCTTTATAAAAAGGAAATAATTTCAATCTTTCAGGAAGTGGTACCAAGTACAAATTATCAATATACGATAGGATCTAACAAATTCCTTACTCTCGCAAAATAGCATTGTGAAAGATAGAGCCCACAGCATCAGCATTCTGTTTGACCATTTAGCATATCAGCATATATGATAAGCAGATGTTCAAGCAAAGTACCATGATATGGTGATATATTCTTCTCCCAAATCAGAGAAAAAAGTTTGATACAACATATTTACCCGAAATTTGGCACTCTGAAGATTTGTACGAGAGAAAAACACATTCCTAAGACAAGCATAGCTGAAATCCACAAGGGATAGATCCTACATTATTTAAAGAGAAACATTCAGACTGTAAATATGATATGGTTACTTTTAGACATTGACAAAGACGAAGCTCTTCTTCCCGAATAGGTTAACTAATCCCTTGATATTGACAAAAGATAAAGACACTCACTAAGACATCAGATGTGTATTCCAATTGAAAAAATTTATATAAATATGTTCTTAGAAATGTAACTGCAAGTTCTTTTTAAAGTCCAGGTTAAAACAACAAGAATCAGTTAAACTATGCATTATATTAATTTTCTCAACAGAACTTTATTAAAACCCACAATGATCCCTGAAACAACTGATATGGGGATCAGAACTGCAGTGAGTTCAAATCAGATAATAGCATGGTAACCTACAAGAATCTGAGATTAAGAAATAATACCAGTTTAGAAAGATCAATTCCAGAAAGATTAACACCTCGGAACCTGACTCTCTCGGATTGTATACATTTGATGATATCTATACGTGATAACTCAGCTTCTACTTCACCAAGTTCTCTTCTCGAATCTTTGATTCCATCTTTCAGCCCCTGAAATAGGAAGAAAATGAAAATGTATTACATCTCCAGCCAAAGTTAGACATGTACTTTACAAAAAGTAAATATCCGGTTACCAGCTACAAAATGAACAGAACGAGAATCGTAAGGTAAAAGAAACGATTAGCTTACGAGAAGCTGATAGTAGTCTGCTTCACGCAAAAGTTCAGAACAATCAGGATCTGACAGACTAGGAGCAACACCATCACGCAACCAATTTAAAATATGACGAAAGTGTTTGCCATCCCTATCTATGAATACATGACCCTGCAACAATTAGATCAACTAGTTTAGTGGACATACTTTACTACAAGTGCATATGCATCCTCATACACATATAATGGATTCTTGCATTTCTAAACAACTCTTAAAGTGGGTGGCTAAAATTACAGTCTCTCCACATATATATATTGGTTTAGCATTAAATTACTCAATCCAAGGACCAACTATTACACTCAGTGAAGCCTATTCATATGCAGAGGTTCTGAAATGGCATCATCATATGCAATTCAAGTAACATAAAATGCAATAATACCGTTTTGGATTCTTGGCACATTGCATGTCGACCACTAAACATCGCTGCAAGCATTGAGTCTGGCTCACGGATAGTCAAAGTATCAATGGTAGTACAAAATTTCTTTCCACCTGCATGAACACAAAGATCTTTATAGTTTATTTGAAGAGCTAGGCCTCGTGAAAGAAAACAGGTTTTTTCACTCAGAAGATGGTTGAGGAACCAGTCAAATATCTCAGAGGACAAAACAGCAGAGTTCTGGTCTTTCCACATGATCAATCCAAGAAACATCAAGGTTAACAACTGAAACCTAATCCCCCAAGTTTCATTTTTCTAGAGAAAATTTTCTCAAATTGACATGCAACATCTCAATTACAGGATTCAGAAACATAACTAAGAAAAAAGATGACCAGGTATAATATTTCTCACACTATCTAGCTACCATTTTATCAATATCTTGTAGTACTAATTGGATCAATTCAAAAAGAATAAATTTTTACCAAGATTTTAAACGTTTAATTAAGTGATGACTAGTGGGATTGCAAGAGAAATACAAAGGAACGAAATTATTACCAATGTTAAGACGAACCATGGAAGACAAGTCAGAGCTCGTCTCCATGAGAGAGAGGAAGAAGAGAACCCAGCACTAAGCTTTGACCTGTGAGGATATTATCACTTTATGAGGACGATGCCAGCATAGATACACTAAACAGAAGTATATTTCACAAAATCTCGAATCTTTGCGGCCTAATTCTAAGGTTGCATAGCAAATACTGCGATCTAGCAACTCAAAATACATTCATCAAACGAGGAATACTCAGATTCTGAAAAAGTTTTGGAAGCAATTCGAATGTAAACTGGATTCGATTTCACAACTAGTCAGTGTAATTTTGTTTACCTGAAAATGTTTTTGCTTCGTTTGGGGTTCTTTGTTTGATGTTTTTGCTGAGAAAAGTTTTTCTTTGGTCGAGAAGAAGACAGGAAAATAAAAAAGAGATTTATTATTTATTGATTTTTCCGATTAAGACAACTAGATGGGCTTAATGGATTGGATAAAAGAAGCCCAAACAACATATTCAAACCCAATAAAAAAAAAGTTTAAAAACCACAATGCTAACTTTTTTTTTTTGTTGTTTTAAAAGATGGAAACAGTTTCCCCGAGAGCATTGGTTCGGCAGATAGGACAAGATGGGTTCTTTTCGAGCCACGTCATAACACATTCTCTGTGAAAGAGGTGGGAACATGGTAGCTGCATGCGACTCGGCACACTGGATAACTTCGTTAAGCATATGGAACAATCCAACGGCGGGACGAGACATGTACCCTTCATATCACATGAACAATCAATCCTCACCCATTGTTCCTCCTCCACTGTAACGAGAACTTCCAGCAACAAACCTCCTCTTCTTCCGCCGCGGCGGTTGTTGAAATTGACGGATTCGACTGCGATGTAACGGACAACACGTTCTTGAAGCAGGGGTGAGAGGTTCAGCCGCGACAAGATGATCATGACGTGCTCAACGCATGTATCTTGCGAGACAAGATAACGTTTCGGGATGCTGTCTTCGATTTCGAGTATACGATCGGTGTGACGTTCAAAGGTGGTCTTGATCTCGTGTCCATCGAGGTTCCCATGCCTGATATGGAGCCTTGGCTCATAAGTCACGACCATGGAACACGAATCTGACTCCACCACCTGAGTAGCTTTGAGGTAAATGCGTTCCTTTGTTGTCTTTTTCCGGATGAAACAGCGATTGATGATTCGGTCGGAAACGGTCGTTGCCGTTGAGAGGAGCTCGTTGCTGTAGCTCGCCATCATGGTTTTGGCTGGTGGTAAAAGTAAAAGATCCTAATCTCTCATGTATGGTTAAATTTGAGCTTATGTGTTTTTTTTTATTTTTCACTTACTGGTCCTCTCTACTATTGTGTACAGATTTATACAAATCTAAAGAGGTTGATTATTAGGAAACTTATATGTTTCCTTTTTCTTGGTTAGCTCACAGACAACAGTGTGGGATTTTTTTTACTATATTATTATGTTCAAATCTTTTGATGGTTGCCAACTAATATATGCATTTCATATATTATGCATTTTGATTTGGTAATTATCTATTTAGACACTTGTATTCCTTTTACAGATCACACACAAGATTTATATAGTTCACACATTTTGTCAAAAATACTAATCCAAAGCTTTTGTATTTATTATTCAATTAAATAATTAGACATATTTGAACATGAAAGGAAGGGATTCTAAATTAAAAGATAAACAGATATCTATAGATTTATATAAATATTAAGATTTGATAAATTCCACGTAATATATCTATAGATTTATATAAATATTAAGATTTGATAAATTCCACGTAATATTTGATAAATCCCACGTAATATTATCTTGTTTACCAATCAAATGGCCGACCTATTGTTACTGGGAAAGCCCTGTCCAAATCATAATGGACGGGTTATATAGTCACGTTCAAAACCAAATGGGCTAAGGCTGACAGGCTGATTTTGGTCACGGAAAAAATGGGCTAGACCACACGAACAATAGGTATGTTCAAATTTTATGTAATGTAGGGTTTAAATTTGGGCAAAACAATATATGGCGCCAGTCTAACAACCTGCTCTTCAATGCCCAGAGGCTTCCTCCACTCTCCATTTTTAAGCTGATTGATCGTTAGCTCCGAAACATTATCTCCTCAAGAAGACATCGCAAGCGTTGGAAAGATCTAATGCTTCTCTGGATTAGATAATTAGTTTTAAAAAAAACTTAGTTTATAATTCTCTCACTAGAATTTTATAATTTCATATGAAATATCATTTATAATTTCATATGAAATATCATAACCAACATTATGATTGTAAATTAATTTATTACTACTGAGTACTGATACTCATTAAATTTTGTGAAATTTTTAATTAGTATTAAAATCTTACCAAATTCTCTATAATCTAGGTTTTGAAATTTGGTACAACAAATTAGGTTATGTATTATTATTTTTTAAATAGTTTATGGTTCCATTGTTGTCCATTAGGGAGCAACTAATTACTCCCCACAAGCAAAATGATCCTTGTGAGCAAACCAATTGGACATTAAACAGATCATTTGACAACTCTATTGATACAGTTGTACTAATTCATAAACTACGCTTGTTATTGTATTATATATAAGACTGTTTTTTTGTTTTTGTTGTTTGTTGTTTGTTATTATTAGTAACATGCATGCATTATGCTAATTATGTAAAGTCTGTGACATATATAACAACTTCGATCCTCACTTGAGTTTATATGTGTTGACTAAGCATGTTTACACAAAACCAGAATAACTAAACAAGGATTCATTGTTTTCTTGAAATAGCAAATCTAGAACTTGTACGTGAAAGATTTAAAGAGGAATATTTAAGATAAAAGAGTGAGGTAAAGGATTTGAAACGTGAAGACGCAAATCCTTGATGACAATGTGAAATGCATTGGTAACTAGATACAGTTTCTTTCATTGGTTGCCACTATGGCCAACACAACAACGATTAATGGGTGAAAAACAGAAAAACTAAAAATATATCATATTATATATTGAGATAGGAAGTTAAAAAAATTAAGTCCAAAAACTTGACTAAATTAAGCATCATCATTGGTTGGGGAATCACAAGGAGGATCAAAGGGACTAAAAGCTCTATAAGCAGAAATAACAGAGAGGAATAAGAAGAAGAAGAGAACAAAGACATGAAGTCCCAAAGCAATTGTGAGTTTTGAACAATAATGAGGATAAGAAGAACACATTTCACTCCATGCCACTATTTTGTCTCCTTTGTTAAGTAAGTACACTATCTCTGTTGCTCCTGCTACTGATGTTGTCATCACATAAGCTAATACCTTCACACACACACACACACACAAATCACTTATATAAGAATTAAACTGCATACTATAGATTTTCAATTAATGATTGAGCAGTGAGATTAGAAATTATAATGAAAAAAACCTGGTCAGGAACAAAGAAGAGCCATGCTTTGGAGACTAAACATCTGAACCATGAAAAAACAGTAGAGAACAGAGCATAGATAGCAGATATGGCACTCACACCAACCATATACCTGCAAATAAACTATTCAGTTCATAAAAAATAAAAATAAAATAAAATAGTGCTCATATTCAAGAATTAGAAGAAATTAAAGAATCTGCATACTTGAGACCCATAATGGAGTTGTAGTCTAATCTGCCATAGTCAGGGTTGGATTCGTGGTTAGTGACAGTTAACCAGATGGTAGCAACACTGAGAGGAACCACACTTAGTCTAAGACATGAATCTATGAGCTTCAAAGACATGGGAGCTTGTTGTGGTTGCTGCTTTAAAGAACTGCTTCTCTCCCCTTCTCTTGTGTTGCTGTTGTTGTCTCTCATCTTTGGTTAATTGGATCCCAAAATCAGATGTGTTTATTTCTCTCTTTGGAGAGGAAGAAAGAAAGCTAAAGAAAAATTGCTGACTTCAAGTTGGTTTCTCAGTTAGATTATCCATCTCTTTGTATATATAATAAATATGTGTGTCTCTGTGTGGTCACAAGACATATAAAAACAAATTATACTAAGATACAAAAAAAGAAGTTCCTATTACTTTTCTCCTTTTTATGATTAATCTTTACAAAACGCGTGGAAGAAACAAATAAGTGATTTTCATTTATAATTAAAGCATAGAATATTCACAGAAAAATAAGGTTTTTCTATCATAGTATTGTAAAATAATAATTGTTTGCATTAGAAGTAGAGGGGTGACCAATTAAATTTTATCATCAAAAACTTATATGTCTTTCTCAACAATTTTTATACTATATGTAAATGTTTGGTAATTCGCTGCTAGGAAAAAAAAAAAGAGTTAGTGGTATTTATATCGGTTATAGTGAGTGGCAGGCACCAAAAATATGGGTAGTGGAAATGACAGGGACGGGGTAAAGTGCGGTGGTTGCTGGAAGCGAGAGATTTTGACATTTGTCTTTGTCTTTGTCTTTGTCTTTGGTGAGCTTCATATGTAATTCATATGTAATCATAGTTTCAGGATTTTGTAGTTTTACTTGTAATAATATTTTAAAGTATTGAGTTGCTTATTATTATATTTTATACCCAAAGTGGTAGTAAAATTGTATTAAAAATTTATCATTGTTTAGAGACATTATTAAACCGGTGGCGAAACTATTATATGGGGACATAAAGTGATGACATTAGCATTAGTCAAGGTGAAGTCACATCATAGTTAAAAACTTAAAAGAGAGGTACAGCAAAACCGATCGCACCAGAGAGAGTCCGCATTTCACATTACAACTTTTTCATCTTTTCAGATTTCGCCATTTTGGTTTAGGACTAGGTTTGAGTTTATTTTGGTTTGGTTCAATTACAGTGACTGTTTTTCTTCTTTTAAGTGGCTAGCTTGGACGACTCCAAATTATGATCTCGTTCTCGTCAGACGAGAATAGTTGCACTCTTTTTAAAAAGTGTTCTCATTTTTCCTCTTGTTTAAGACTAGTTTAACTACAATAGTCAATATAGGGTTATCAATGCCCATGTGGGATGATTTGTACGATTTGGTGGGTATAATTTTTAGACAAAAGAGCCATACAGAATAGAAAATGAAGGATTTGGCAACGCATGAGTTACTAAACTTTGAAGGTGAGAAAGTGAATGGTATGGTCTATGATATGTGTGCTTGGTGATGTAGCAAATGTGTATCAACAACAAATCAATTTTACTTGCCTACAAGTTTTAATACTTCTGCCAATTGAATAGACCGGTTAAATCTAATAGAGATACATCAACATGACTAGAATTTTTTGAGATTCCTACACAATCTTGGTCTATTCAAGATTTTCTTCAACTCCATCCCATGTAACTAATAGCTACTATGATCGGTTCCATTTCATAAAAGTATTCCTAGGACACGTACTTATGGTCATCATCACTATTACCATCAGATTCTGTATAAAAATCACATATTGTATCTGTTCAGTATGGACCAGTTGCATAATCAGAGAGCAAAGAGCTGGATCTGGATAAAGTTTAACCATATGGGCTGAGAAAAAAATATTTAATGCACTGAATCACTTTTACCCTTTGAAAAGAGTCAAGAGACCAGATATAGAGAAACTTTTAACATTGATATGATGATGAGACTATATAAATCAAGACCAATGGTTTCATATACTCTTAGTCTTATCTTATACCACAAAGCAAATCAAACTCACTTCAACCTTCCGGTTACTTCTACTACCACATGGAGTCAGACGATAGCAAACGGCAAAGATGTTAGACAAACATTGTTATGCATCACAACAAACAGAGACACAACACCAAAACTTTTACCACTGAGATGTTGAGACGAGACTATGTAAATTGTAAAAGCAGAGAAATGACCGAAATGTTGTTATAGCCTATGTTGATCTCAATCTAACAAAAAGACAGCAAACTTGAAAATCATATAATTTTGTGAAGGAATCTCATATAATCATTAAGAACCATAAAAATGATCCTCATGTAATCAAATTACGAACAATACAAGTATTTAGTGAAGGAATCTATAATCAAATCCAAACCCCAACACAGATATTAAATTAACAGAGGTTAAATTATCATCAATTGTATGATTAAACACACATAATTTATTGAAAATTTAATGATTATATAATGAGTATTGAACATTATACCCAAATTGTAACATGAGATTACAGATTCGGAAGAGAGACTAGATTTTAAAACTCTCAATGAGCAATAACATCACTATTCAACACACTACTACTGGGTTCAACAAGAACTGAGTTTATAGGAGGATTAATGTTCATCATCATCATCGACGAGACAGATCTAGCAGCGCCTAATTTCTTCCTCTGATAACTATAAGGACCGTAGATCTTTCTCAGAAGATGTGGTACCTGATCAATCGTCAGACTCCGCGCCGCCGCCGTCGCTGCTTCATCATCGGCAGAGTTCTGAGATGGTGTAATCGGATCGAGTGGTTGCGAGAGGGATCGAGACACGAGAGATGTAACAGAAGTAGATCTACCGTTGATCCTCGAGTTTCGGATCTGTGCAAGAGCTCCTGGTTTCAAGTAGCGGTGGAATCCGTCGTTTCTTCTCGCCGGAGATTTAGAGATGTCTTTCATGGTTACGAAATTGGTTAAGAGATTGAATTTGAGGATCGAGAGAGAGATAGAGAGATTGAGGATTGATGAAATGAAGATTTGGGGATCTAAGGATTTTTGTAATGGAGTGAGAGCGGCGGGAAAATCAGCGTTAGGGGGGAAAAAGATGAGTCTTCCTTTAGGGTTTTCAAAAGTATTCAAGAGCGGGATATTTTTGTGTGTGTGGGCACGTGGTATTGACACGCGGCACGTGACCTTTGATTTCTATATTCCAAAACCGAACCAAACCGTACCGATTAGGCAACCCCTCCCCAGTTAAATCCAACACTTGTGGGTTTATTAGAGGACCAATTAGTGTTAATAACGTGGGCTGCCGCATGAGAGTAATTATTGTCTGTCTCTCACACCTACTATTCTAAACGTGAACCTTCTAACTTGTTCTCCAAACTCCAATTGTATTATTACACGTGTCCAATCTCACAGCTACATAAATATCTGCGGCTACAAATCTTAGCCGCCTAATTATATTTTTATACCACCGTTGTTTGCCACCGTTGTTTTACTTTTGCGTCTATAGCGACGGTTTCAGTCTCCTATATTTCCCACTGATCACCCTCATACACTGCAATACTGATTCCATATACTTCTCTCTCACTCTTTATTCGTAAAAAAGTGAAACCAGTGTTACCACTATGGACACTAAGATCGGATCCATCGACGCGTGTAACCCGATCCACGACGATATCGGAGGTCCTCCTAACGGCGGCGTTTCCACTGTTCAAAACTCGAGTCCGCTTCACTCCACCGCCATCACCTCCTGCGACGCAACTCTTGGCCGTTACTTAGCTAGACGTTTAGTCGAAATCGGCGTCACCGACGTCTTCTCTGTTCCTGGTGATTTCAACTTAACGCTTCTCGATCACCTCATCGCTGAACCGAACCTCAAGCTGATCGGTTGCTGTAACGAGCTTAACGCTGGATACGCTGCCGACGGTTACGCCAGATCTCGCGGCGTTGGTGCGTGTGTCGTTACGTTCACCGTCGGTGGGTTGAGTGTTCTGAACGCGATCGCCGGTGCTTATAGTGAGAATCTGCCTCTGATTTGCATCGTCGGTGGTCCAAACTCAAACGATTACGGTACCAATAGGATTCTCCATCATACGATTGGGTTACCTGATTTCACTCAAGAGCTTAGGTGTTTTCAAGCTATCACTTGTTATCAAGCTGTGATTAATAACTTAGAAGAGGCTCATGAACTCATCGATACTGCGATTTCAACTGCTTTGAAAGAAAGCAAACCTGTTTATATTAGTATCAGCTGTAATCTGCCGGCGATTCCTCTCCCGGCGTTTAGTCGTCACCCTGTTCCATTCATACTTCCGCCTAAGGTTAGCAATCAGATTGGTCTAGATGCGGCGGTGGAGGCAGCGGCTGAGTTTTTGAACAAAGCTGTGAAGCCAGTTCTTGTAGGTGGGCCGAAAATGCGGGTTGCTAAAGCTACGGATGCTTTTGTGGAGCTTGCTGATGCTTCTGGCTATGGTGTTGCTGTGATGCCTTCTGCCAAAGGACAAGTACCTGAGCATCACAAGCATTTTATAGGGACGTATTGGGGAGCTGTGAGTACAGCTTTTTGTGCGGAGATTGTTGAATCTGCGGATGCTTATTTGTTTGCAGGTCCGATTTTCAACGATTACAGTTCTGTTGGGTACTCTTTGCTTCTCAAGAAGGAGAAGTCGATCATCGTGCAGCCTGATCGGGTTACTATCGGTAACGGACCTGCGTTTGGGTGTGTTCTTATGAAGGAGTTTCTTAGCAAATTGGCTAAACGGATTAAGCATAACAACACTTCCTATGAGAATTACCACAGGATCTTTGTCCCAGGAGGAAAGCCTTTGAGAGATAATCCAAATGAGCCTTTGAGGGTTAATGTTCTGTTCCAACACATTCAGAATATGCTCTCTTCTGATACTGCTGTGCTTGCCGAGACTGGAGATTCCTGGTTCAACTGTCAGAAGCTGAAGCTCCCTGAAGGATGCGGTTACGAATTCCAAATGCAATACGGATCAATTGGTTGGTCAGTTGGTGCTACTCTTGGCTATGCTCAAGCCATGCCAAACAAGCGTGTCATTGCCTGTATTGGAGATGGTAGTTTCCAGGTAACTGCGCAGGATGTATCTACAATGATACGGTGTGGGCAAAAGACCATAATTTTCCTAATCAACAACGGAGGCTACACAATTGAAGTGGAGATTCACGATGGTCCTTACAATGTCATAAAGAACTGGAACTACACGGCTTTTGTTGATGCTATACACAATGGAGAAGGCAAATGCTGGACTGCCAAAGTGAGATGCGAGGAGGAGCTAGTGAAAGCGATCAACACAGCAATGAATGAGGAAAAAGAGAGCTTCTGTTTCATTGAAGTGATTGTGCACAAAGATGATACAAGCAAGGAGCTTCTGGAGTGGGGTTCTAGAGTCTCTGCTGCTAACAGTCGTCCCCCGAATCCTCAGTAGAGATAAGAGATGCACTCAACTTTTATTTCCACTATGGTAGTTTCATCATCGTTTTATGTAAAAAAGTAGTGTATCCTTTTACACCCATCTGGATGGGAAAACAATGTGTGTCCCCTTGAGGGTATAAGCTGTTTAAGTGCCTAAATAAGAAATCGTTTCCTCTGCTTCGTCCTTCCTCCTCAGTTTTTCGCAGATTCATCAGAGCGATGGTCTTTGTGTTTTGGATTGGTATGTTGATTAAAGTTGAGATTCTATTCGAAGATGCTAATAAAACATTTAAGGGCAGTAGCCAGTAGGTAGTGGCCTTCCAGAGGAGAAAATCGAAATGACTCAGATTTTTTTTCTGAGGTATGAAACCAGAGGAAGCAAATGAGTTGATTCGTTCTTTTTATGTCAATATGTTTTTGCAGCTACGAGACCCAGCTACGGTGCCAAGTCACATGAACATTAGACAGTTACGGTTACTGAGGAGTGAAGACCCTAAAGATGCGCATTTGAAAACGGTTGTGAAACATATCCATCGCTTATACGAACAAGAGTCAAGAGGTCATTGATTTGTTCTGTTTTTAAGTTTGTTTGTTTTCAAAATTTCGTCAATCCTTTTTAAATTCATTTGTCAACGAAAAAAAAAGAAAAAAAAGGAACGTTTTCTATCCAGACGTGGCATCCTTGATTTGTAAATGAGTTTGAAAAATAACAAAGCCTTGATGACTTCCTTTATCTCTTCTTTCAACTTCAACCATGTTTAAGGGTCTCGATTGATCCTTCTTCTCCTCCTTTGGAAGTTTCTGATGACCGATGCCGTTTTGATTTTTCGCCATGTACAGATATTCTTCTTCTGGTGTGCAATTTGCTTCTTCAATATCCAAGAGCTCCACTGCCTCAGCTCCAACCTTGTTCATATCACGTCTTCACAACTCCAAGTACCCATCTGTGAGGATCATTTCAGCTTTCCGCTTGTTTCGAGTGTGCTCTGCTGCCATAAGGTGGAGCAATGGCACTAATTGGAAGTTCCCTGTGAGCCTCCGGGCGCTGCTCAGAGAGTAAGGAAATTTGAAAGGAGATTCGCTAGCATTGGTACCATGATGGTTTATAAAGTTCATTTCTCTTAGCTTGCTTCACATGAATCTTTATTATACATGTTTGGCATACACTGATTCACTTACATTTGGTTGAAGCAAGCTAATGTGACGTAGCTAATTTAATTATGTTCTATCAACATTGAGATTTTAACATCCATTTATTAGGGAGTGAAAGCTATCATTGCCAAGAGCTTTGATAGAGTACACCGCAGCAACTTGGCTAGTATGGGGATTGTTCCTCTGTGTTTCAAGTTCGGGGAGGATGCAGAAACACTTGAACTTTGCGGTTAGACACAGAGGTAAATCCACAAATTAATGCTTTTGTATTTATCACACCGTACACGTCAATGGTCTGAACTGACTTGGTTGATCGGAGATGATGAATCAGGTGGAAGTGGCATACTATAATCATGGCGGTATGCTTTCGTATATCATTAGAAGTTTGAGCAATGAGTGAGTATCAAAAAGTTTGTCGGCTCTCCCAACTGTGTCTGAGAACGTTTTCAACATAAAAATAAAAATATATACATATCAGGACAATTTGCAAATCAGACGGTGTGTCTTTTTGTTTTGTCAGACAACCACAGCTATCGAATATATAAAATGATAAATTCGAAATCATCATATTGAGGAAGAAGCTATTATTGACTTCGAGATTCTTCGAGCAAGTGTTGGACCCCATTTGTGGTTCTTATTACACGACCCTTTTTTTGAATTATTATTTATTTTTGTCTTTTTTTCCAATAAATGATGCTTAATGGGCCAACTTGCGCGTCCATTATACGCAGTAAAGTTATTCTAAACGTGATCACCTTCCCCACTCGGTCTCTAATTCGTACTTATCCATACACGTGTCTACTAAATAATAGATCTACGGCTACGATTTAACCGCCATAAAAAGAAGGTCATGGTAAAAAAAAATATAGCTTATAAATACAAAACCTTCCTTTAGCTTCACTCTTCATAAACTCCAAAGACTCCTATCGTCTTCTTCGTCTTCCTCCCCACAACAACTGCTTCAGGTACGATCTCGTCTCTCTGTTTCTTATTTTCTGTTGATTCATATCGTAGATTTGATCTCTCTGTTTGTGTTGCTCTTTGTGTGATTGGTTCATCTTGAGTTTTCAGTTGACCCGTCTTTCCTTGTTACGTTTTCGAATCGAATTGGTTTGCTCTTTTGCGTTCTATTGTTGTGTTTGTTTATGTTTCTGATTTGTGAATTTTGAATGAGTCTCTTAAAAAAATTAGCGATCTTCTCATACAGGATTATTTGTTAGGGTTTGACTAGTTTTGATCTCTATTGATTTTTCTGGTCTTATGATTGGTATATTTTAGGGGTTTGGATTGATATTAGATTACAATAGGGTCGTGATCATGTAACTAGTCTACTATAGGTTCAATTGATCATAGATCTCGTCTTATGATTCAGTGATTTTATGTTTTTGTTTTATTTTTAGGTAATCTTGTTTAAGACATGCTCTGTTCTTGATTTTTTATTGTTAATAATAACTAGGACTTGGTTCATGAATTATGATAGCTATCTTCTGTTCTTGAATTATTTTTTGTTTTAATTGTAGTCTAAACTTGGATTTTCTCCAATTTTTTTTTGTTTTGTTTGCAGAGAGAATCGAACAGCTTAAGAGCAGTTTCGTAGTTACAAGTAACCAAGTTTACATGGTTGAGCTAGACATCCAGATTCCATCAGCATACGATCCTTTCGCAGAGGCCATAGATTCAGATGCACCAGGAACAAAAGAGAACATCCACATCCGAATCCAGCAGAGGAATGGCAAAAAGAGCTTGACCACTGTTCAAGGGCTTAAGAAAGAGTACTCCTACGAGAGGATCCTCAAGGATCTGAAGAAAGACTTTTGCTGCAACGGGAACGTTGTGCAGGACAAGGAGCTAGGCAAGATCATTCAGCTCCAAGGTGATCAGAGGAAGAAAGTTTCTCAGTTCTTGGTCCAGTCTGGCCTTGCTAAGAAGGATCAGATCAAGATCCACGGTTTCTAAACCATCATCGATATCGTTTGACTTAATATCTATCTATTTATGCGAATAAATTGTCGTGGTGTTTGTTGCTTCTCTTCTTTAAAGATTTGGTTGAATGTGTTGGGATAATTTGACATTTTGCAATGATAAGTGTTTCGATTGGTCTATTTCCATCTCTTTTGATTGGTCTTATCTCCATCTCTTCCTTTCGTTACTTGCTAAAGAAAAAGAAAGTTATATGATGAATCAAGGAATAGGAGAAGATATAAGATATTGTGAACTGATGATACGTTGGTCTTTATACAGAGAGTCCAAGTTTTTCTTCTATTGATCAGTAACAACTCCTCAGAAAATGAAGTGTCGTCCATGTTCTTATAGAAAGCAAAATACGTTTTAGAAACAATCTTAGATTTAACTTTTGTTTATTGTAATTAAAAATAATACTTTTGTTTATTGTATGGTTGAAAATGTATGTATGTATGAATTGAGATGAGAGCATTAGTTTAATGGGCTTAAAAATAGTAACCTTTGTAGATAGTCGGGCTTAATCAAGCAATTAGGGAAAGCATATTGATTGTTTGTTATATGGAAGAAGTCAAGAATACAGTACACGTGATTTTCACGTGACCTTTAAAGAAAAAGAAACAAGTATCTAAAAATGCTCTAAGCAAAAGATATTATTAGTGGGCGTGACTGGTGAAGTAATAGAAAGTTCAAGTTGTGCGGTTTCTTATTTACCAATCACAAGAGCGTTACTCGAAAATTTTACTCTCTGTCTTTTTTACAGTTTTTATGTATCGTTTTTTTTACAGTTTTACGCTATTTTTTAAGAATTTACCGCTCCAACTTACAGCTATTTTGTACGGCTTTAACTACGTTACTAATTGGACCATTATCTAAAAACTAAAAAGCCCAAACCAAAAAAGTTAAAACAGCAGAGAATAATAAGGGTTTGCACCAAATCCACAAATTTTATTTTGTTTTGTTTGCTGTGTAATTAAATTTTTGTTCGGCCCTTTTTTTTCTTTCTTTCTTTCTTTGCTTTGTTTTGCCCTCAAATGATAAATTTGTCTTTTTCGCATTTAGCCTCTCCTCTTATTTGACTAACGTTGTTGTTAATGCCACAAGACTAAAAGAAAAAGCTGAAGAAAAATCGCAGAGGTATGTCTGTAAATTTTTTCTCTGTCTTTTTTCCTATGTTTGTTTTTACACAGAAATTGACGGACAAGCTTGAAGCTTTTGTTTCGCTGCTTCGTTTCTTTGTTTTGTTTATTTCGGGTAATAATAATATTACTTTTGCTCTTCTGTGTTTTCTTTTCTTCACTCGTCATTTCTTTTTGAAATCCGATATTTTTTGTTTTTAGTGTTCTTCTCATGTGATTCTGATTCTAGGGTTACTTTTAAATTTGCTATTTTTTGCTGCTTTTATGTGTGTGTGTGTGTTGTTGTTGATAAGAGTGGTTTGATTTTGTAATTAGGAGTCCTGATTTAAGGGTTTAGAAATGGTTGCATGTTCGTTTGGATTACTGGATCTTATCTGCATAAATCCCTAGTTTTTAGTTGAAATGTCTGCAAATTAACACTGTAATTACTCTGATTCTTTTTTTTTCCGGCTTGTGAAAGTTATTTGAGAAAACCCGAAAAATGGGGTTTTTTTTAGAGTTGGTGTTTGCTATTTCAATTAAAACTTCACATCTTTGATATTTGTTTCAGTTTTGGTTGACATTTTGTGTGATGATGATCTCTCTGGTGTTGGTTTTGTGATCCTCACTTGCATTGTATCTTTATTGTTGCACAGGAATAGTCTAGAGAGGTTTTTTTAATCACTAATTACTGCAGACATCAAAGCTTCACAGAGATGGAGAAGGAAGGGCATGAGGAGAACAACCACACTGTCTCCGGAGATTTAATGGCCAAACGGAAACGAGGTCGTCCGAGGAAACACTTGAAGCTAGAATCCAACGAGCAGTCTCTTGGTACTACTCCTCCAGGGCTTAGCAGGTCTCAGCAGCAGCTTCGTCAGAGGGATGATTATGAAGCTATGGTTGGACAACCGATTACTGGTGTGATTGAGGCATCGTTTGAAGCCGGGTTCTTGCTTTCTGTCAAGGTTGGAAACTCGGATAGCATGCTTAGAGGTGTGGTGTTCAAGCCTGGTCATTGCGATCCTGTATCGGTTGATAACGACGTTGCTCCTGATGTTCCTATGATAAGAAGAAACAGTGATGTGATGCATCATGACGGCTCAGCTAAACGAGGTCGTAAATCTAGATTCCGGGAGAGACGTGGTAGTGGTGTTAGAAACAGAACATTGGTTCCTGTCCCGATTCAGCCTGCTCATCCAAAGAATCACTTGGTTCCCGTCATGCTTCAGCCTACCCATCTACAGAATGGTGGTGGGCGTGTCCCGGTCCACCACAGTCCCATGCAGAACGAGAGTGGGTCTCAAGCAAGTGGAGCGAGTAACGGCAAGCCTTTTGAGACGCTGCTCACACAGGTGATGAATAAAGGTCCAGTCCATCACACAGCACAGTCCATTGAACCTGAGTCAGATGAGCAGGCTCTGTCTATTGAGCCATTGCAGGCGATACACCCGGTCCATCCAGTACATATGCCGAAACCCATGCAGAGTTACGGACGAGGCAAGATGACAGAACTCCTTCAGGTACTAAACCCAACCATACCAACGATTTTATCCCAAGTTTACTTGTTTTCTTTATAGAGATTCATGTTTGATTTGTCTTAGGCTGTGCAGGAGAATGTGAGAGAGACCCATTTTCCTCAAGGCCATTGATCTCCTGAAGATGATTTCTTCTTGCAAACCCTTTAAGAGTTTAAAGTCTGATTCAATTTCATTGTAATCAGAAATAGGAAAACAGAATCTAACTATTGTCTAGCTTAAAGATATCAGCAAAATTACCGTGATTCATTATATAAAAATGCTCATTGCCTTTCTGTTTTCTTTAGCTAATAGTTTTGTATATCATTGAGAGAAAAGAATCCAAAACAATAGACGAAATCTTTAACTTTTAAGTACTAACTGTGGATCAAAATCTTTATTATATAAGCCTTATCAAGCTGGGAGGCAAACAATAAGGTAATGAAGAAAAAAATTTAAGACTTTCTAAAGAAACTTTGTGCCATAGAAACCATTAGGAACTGGAATTGGCAGTGCTCGGTTAATCGGAAAAGTTGGCTGCATAACTGGAATATCGGTAGGCATGACTGTGTAAGGCTGATGTCCACTAGCTGCAAATGGTTGGGGAGCATAAAGTTGCATCGGTTGACCAGTTGCGATTAGACCTGTATTGCCAAAAACGAAGATTCTTAAAATGAAAACAAATTCTTTGGTCTTAGCATGAACTAAACTTAGACAAGAGAAGAATATTTTACTTTGATGCTTTGGATATTGGAGCTGTTGTGGAGAAAACAGAGGACGAGGGGGTGGATGTGGGTGATGAGGTGCTCCTTGAACCAAATCCTTAGAAAAACATAAACGGGAAGAACACTTGAGTTTCTTGTGAGCAGTAAGGCTAATGTAATTTTTTTTGTTCACAAAATAACCAATCATTTGGATTCTTACCTGAGAAATTGGTTGCATATACATAAGCTGTCCTGATCTCCCGACCATCATCTGGAATATACAATAGGAAAAGAGCCTTTCAGAAACTCATGCACTACAACTCAGTTCTTATAAAAAAATTTCTTTAACAGAAGTGAGGACACAGAGTTGTTAATGAAATACAACCTGAGGATTGGGATTTACAAGCATTGGTGTGGCTTGAACAGGATGGAACTGAGTAGTAAATCTATTTGGCTGTCCCCTGTTGATAATAGTAGGTCCAACCATCTGCAGAAAAAAGGGTTCAAATGGAAAATATGATTCATTGATTGCAACGGATTTTAAATCACCGGTTATGAACAAAACTAATAGTAGAAGAATTTAACGTTTAATGTTTATCAAGTTATATCAATATCATCGGTCATGTGTGAAGATGATACTGTTTCATAATCTTGTTATTGGCATTTTAGCCATTTAATTACTTATTGCTAAAAGGAGGTTGTAGGTGAATATATGTCCCTCTAAAAATGTTATGTTTAGAGAGATAAAGAGAGAATAGTAGATAACTCAATTCTGGTTGAATACTTACATGTTGGGGAAAATGAGATATACCACCAGCATTTCCAGCAGCCAAATTGGTGTACGGAACAAACTTGGAAGGCGAAGGTGCATGAGACAAGAAAGGGCTGATTCCAAATTCTGGTTGACCAGCTTCAGGAACTGGTAACATAGGAGTACTACTCGGCACATAACCTATATTTGCAACAACAGGCGTCGTACCAGTATAAGTTGATGTAAGACGTTTTGCAAGAGATGGAGAAAAAGTCTTTGCTCCAGGATTTAGCTTGAACTCCTAGATTTCAAAGAAGAATAACAAATTACGTAAGATGGAATTATGCATCAGTCATCAAACCGCACAACTAAACACGAGCATTACATACTAACTTGAGGATATAATAGCAACTAGTGTATATTCTGAAGGCGAGAGATCAATTAGAATTCTGTAATAACCTTAGTTTTCTTGTTAGGGTCTGTTGACTGATTAGGTATCCTATTTGTAGATGCCACCAAAACCTGAGTCATTTCTGAGTTTTCATCCGGAGTTGTGCTCTGTGATGATGAATTTTCAGTTGATGAGGGCCTTTCTGCAGCATCATGAAAACCATTACTAGAAAGACCCAGCATAGTTTTCTCTTGTTCAGTCGGTTTTACACGTTCAAACGTGTTGTCCACTGTCATTATAACACATAGATAGTTGAGTATAAACATGTTAGATAATGGTATATTGTCAAAAGGGAGCAGAACCAAATTCATCATTATAAAATTAAAATACACAATTTCCTAAAAATGGAACTCACAGCTAATACTTGAGCTTTGGGGATCAACCTGCAGTAGGTAAATACAATAATAAGCCGCTGCTGAGCAATATTTTGAAAAACAGAATATAACTAATTAGGTGCAATACTAACATTATCCTTCTGATGCACTACAGTATTTTGTTTACTATGCTGCAAAATGCGGGATCCAGTCTGTCTGTCAGGAAAAGAATATACAAGAATCAGAGAGATAACATGTGAAAAATCTAGAATTTGATATGTCAAATATAAAGTAACTAGTGCAGCACAAAACACACATAGCTTAACTGTAGTCAGAAACCTAGATTGCTAAGGTTGAGACCTTCAAAGAAGTTTGTTTACATATTGCAAAGACAAAGATAAGGAAACTAATTCTATACCAAAACAATATACTGTTGATCCATACCGTTGATGGTTCAGAGAGATAGGATGATGTTTGTTCTGCAAAAAAGGAAATTGGAAAACGTATTAAGAGAGTGAAGACTAATAAAGGGAGTCAGACTGTAAAAGCTAAAGTGAAGAAAATGACAAGAATTTTAATAATGACTACACAAGGCATCTACTTGAATGTCATCCGTTACAGACACCGAACACCATGTGCATAATTTTACGTTCTACCAAATGGAGGCTGGCTTCACTATCATCGGTTCCCACCACACGAGGAGAAGTATTTACATATATTCCACAGAACAATCAATACAAAGCTACCTGTGCAATACCAACCTGATCTCTTCTCCCTGGCTCTTTCAAAGCATCTGTGGTTCCGTTTACTTTCGCAGATGTCAAGGTTCTTACTTTATTTTCCAAACGATTTTCAAGTTTGGCGGAATTTCTGTTTCAAAAGTTAAAGAGATTAACAAATCTTTCATCTGGTTCTTTACAAATCCATAGAGTAAATCAAAACAAAAGTAAAAGACAGAGAGTGCAAGGAGAAAAACAAGATTCACAATGTGGCATTGCGATGCATTCATAATCCCAGTCTTTAACTTATCTGTCTGGATATGAACTTAAAACAACTACACAGGTTACCTTCTACGATTAGCGCCCCGTCTGTTATTGCCAGAATTTATGGACTTATTTGCAACACAAGAACGAGGCTCGGAAGTAATTGCCACGGCCGAGACAACATTTTCACCCTCAATCTCGCCTGAAACATTGGGCGAAAGCGAGACTCCCTATGAACAAAAAATCAAAATGAAAATTCACACTATCTGGCGTAAAACGAATCTCTAGAAGTAGAATTATCTTAAAGACCAACCTCTGCAACAATTTGAACAATATTGGAAGACAAAATAACAAGTGTCTCCACGATCTTCCCACTTGCTACATTCGATTTACTTCTTCCCTTCTTAGTAAGTCTAGCATTCTTCAAAACAATGCCTAATACAGAATCAAACCAGTACAATTCAGAAACAGACCAAAATGCTAACATATAACTACACAAATCGAAACACTGGGAACGAAGCAATGTAAATGATTCACACTGACAATTCACTAATGAACATAATTTTTATACGATCCAATTCAAGTATCTGAGATCGCCAACACAAATTTCGAATCAATTCAAAAACCACTTTCGAATCAATTCAAACACAAATTACCAAAATCAAAACCCAAAGGAAACGTACTGAATTCGTTTTCAAGAGAGAAGGTGTAGAATATCCCAGAAAAAACAGAGCCATCCTGGATATGCACATGGACTTGTAAGTCGATGATGCACATAGTAGAGATTAACAGAGCTTCCCTCAGCGATGGTGACGAAGAAGGAGACGAACGTGAGATCTCATCTTCCAGTTTCTTCGCGATTGCCATATTCAAATCTATTCGTTCGAAAATTTGATCGGAAAAATCCACACTGACCGGTGGTATACGCAGGTGCGTATGAGTAATATATATGTATCGCAAGACGACGACAGATTTGAGATTTGGGCCTTTTATCTGTCCTTATTGGGCCTATTTTGGTTTAGTTTCTTTTTCTTTTTGGTAGTTAACAAAAAAAAGAAGTCATCGTCTTCGTTAAACCCTTGAATTGGCTGCTACGTCTCTGATTCTGTGAAATCTTAAAACCCTAATTTTCCATCATCTCCTGCAAATTCAATAGCTTCTCTGGAGCTCTAATTTTGTGTTTGTGTCAAGATGGGAAGGCCTAAGAAGACTAGGGGAATGAAGAAGGAGATGCGTCTCAACGAAGTCGAAGAGATAACTCTTCTGAACCAGTGGATCGAATCACAGAAGCCGGATTCAGGATCCAATCCACTTTCATTCGGTCCTCTTCCTAAAGATTCGAAGATCGGAAAGCTAGAAGATGGCAAAAACGGCACCGTTTTCTCTCGCTACGCAGGTGTAAGGAAGTTTGCTCAGTTGCCTATTTCGGATAAAACGAAAAGAGGATTGAAAGAAGCGAAGTATGTTGATATGACTGATGTACAGAGAGCTGCAATACCTCATGCTTTATGTGGAAGAGACATTCTCGGTGCTGCCAGAACTGGGTCGGGCAAAACTTTGGCTTTTGTTGTTCCGGTGAGGCTTCGTTTGAATTCTCTTGTTCTATGTTCGTGAGATTGACCATTGGGTATTTTGAATTGCTATTGCATTGCTGTGTGTAGCTTTGTTTGTCGATCATGTTTGGTTTATAATAGATATTAATGGATGTGGGTTGTGTGTTGTAGATCCTGGAGAAGTTACATAGGGAGAGATGGAGTCCTGAAGATGGAGTGGGATGTATAATTATATCTCCAACAAGGGAATTGGCAGCTCAAACGTTCAATGTTTTGAATAAAGTAGGAAAGTTTCATAAGTTCAGTGCGGGGCTCTTAATTGGTGGTCGTGAAGGAGTTGACGTTGAGAAGGAGCGAGTTAATGAGATGAATATATTAGTATGTGCTCCTGGTAGGCTTCTTCAGCACATGGACGAGACCCCAAACTTTGAATGTTCACAGCTTCAGGTATTCTTGACCCTATTTGTTTATGTTTTCACTATTCCTTATTTCTAATAAAATGATAGCTACAGAATATTTGGGCATTTTGTGTTGTTAACTCTATATATAATCATAATGTGGACACCATCCATATTTGCAAATAAGGATATTGTAGAAGCACTACGAAATGGGCATCCCCTATCTTTATCTATGTTTCTGTCTGCCAAATTCTATATAGTCTTATTGTTTTGAAATGCATTAATTGATGTTCCCTTTTGGTGCAGATTCTGATTTTAGATGAAGCCGACCGTGTCCTGGATTCTGCTTTCAAGGGGCAGTTGGATCCTATAATATCACAGTTGCCTAAGCACAGGCAAACTTTGCTTTTCTCTGCAACCCAGACTAAGAAAGTCAAGGATCTAGCAAGACTCAGTTTGAGAGATCCTGAGTACATTAGTGTACATGAAGAGGCGATTACAGCTACTCCAACTAGCTTGATGCAGACTGTGATGATTGTTCCAGTGGAGAAGAAATTAGATATGTTATGGAGCTTCATCAAAACTCATCTTAATTCCAGGATTCTTGTTTTTCTCTCTACCAAGAAACAGGTTAGATTATTTACCTCTCTTCTCCTTTGAATAATTAATATGGAGATAGTTTGTTTGCTTTCGTTCTGCTACGTTTTTCTATCTTGGTGTTGATAAAGGAATCACTATTTTGAGCAGGTCAAATTTGTTCATGAAGCTTTCAACAAGCTCCGGCCTGGAATACCTTTGAAGAGCCTTCACGGAAAAATGAGTCAGGAGAAACGGATGGGAGTGTACTTGCAGTTCATTGAGAGACAATCAGTTCTTTTCTGTACTGATGTTCTTGCTAGAGGTCTTGATTTTGAGAAGGCTGTGGACTGGGTTGTTCAGGTATGAATCCCCACATTCAGAACTACAACACTCTTATGATCTTGTCGGGGTGAAATGTGATGGCATTTTATTTATTTTATAGGTGGACTGTCCTGAAGATGTGGCTTCTTATATTCATCGAGTTGGGCGAACTGCTCGTTTTAATACTCAAGGGAAGTCCCTCCTCTTTCTGACACCTTCTGAGGAAAAAATGATTGAGAGACTACAAGAAGCTAGAGTGCCTGTAAAACTCATCAAGGTAGTAGATCCCGACCTCAATTTTCTTTGAGTCTTGACTGTGGTTGCAAACATTTGACTTAAAAAAAAATTGTTTACACAGGCAAACAACGAAAAGCTGCAGGAGGTTTCTAGGCTATTGGCTGCTTTATTAGTCAAGTATCCAGATCTTCAAGGTGTTGCTCAGAGAGCCTTCATAACATATTTGAGGTCCATCCACAAAAGAAGAGATAAAGAGATATTTGATGTGGCAAAGCTGTCGATTGAAAACTTTTCTGCTTCACTTGGTCTGCCAATGACTCCCAAAATCCGATTCACAAACCTTAAAACGAAGAAAAAGGGGGTCTTTGAAAGTTCTATCGCTATGGAGGAGCCTGGGAATGCACAGGAATATGAAGCATCTCCGGTTGTAGAAAAAGATCTTCTTGGTGAAGATTTAGGGGAAGAGGATTTTGCTCTGAAGCCAAGTCGAGAGGGCAAGGAAGTAGAAAAATCAACCAAGCAAGAGGTTCTCATGTATGGTTTTCACATTCCTTTAACTATTTTATCATTCATTCGATCCAGTCTTTTCATGGTTATGTATCTGTATAAATTCCTTTGAATTTTCAGGCCGGGAACTCGGGTTTTGAAAAACAAGAAGCTGAAGATCAATCTACACAGACCATTTGGGTCAAGGGTTGTGCTTGATGAGGAAGGAAATTCTTTGGCTCCCTTAGCAAGTTTAGCTGCTGCAACAGGGGATGAAGTAGTCCTTGATGAAGGTAAAGGATCGTCAACCTTAAGTTACATCATATCCCTATTAGTCTGTTCCCACAAAGTAAACAATGTGTCAGTTTTTTACAATGCATGAGGAATTGGTTGGTGGTCTTTTTCAGAGAAAAGGAAGGAATTCTATAAGAAAGTTGGAGCGGAAATGAGGAAAGCCGATGTTGAGGACAAGAAAGTAGAGAGGGAAAAGAGGAGGGACAAGAGAATGAAACAGAAGATTAAGAGGAAGAGAGGAGCCATGGAGGAGGATGAAGAAGATGACGAAGAAGAAGTAGTCCATGATGGTTCCGGATCATCAGAAGAAGAAACAGGACGAAACCGCAAAAGAGCTAAGAAAATCGTATTTGACAACGAAGAAAAGGAGGGAGGAAAAATCAACACAGATTCTTTCTCCGTAGCTGAGCTTGAAGAAATGGCTCTCAAATTGATAACTCAATAATATGAGATCTCAAATAGACTTCCTTTGTATACGGAGATAACAATTGTGTAGTTTTTATCTATTTGGTGGAAAATTTTGTGGTTTTTTTTCCACCTGTGGGATATTGCACTCATGCTTTTGTCTACTTTATGAAGAAAATGAATTGCATTTCAGCATGTTTTTGTGTTTGGAAGAAAATAATTTACGTACTATTCTTCATAAAATTCGATGTGGCTTTTGACTGTAATCAAATAAATTCTATACTATCTGTCTATCAGACCCTTGACTCTTTTCAAATTGAATATAGAGTGCAACAATTTTGATGATGATTTAAAGGTTGTCTGTCACACTAGCAAAATGGTAATCCAATCATTTTGGATAATATTTTTATGAAACAGAATAAAGTTTCCAACTGTCAGCAAACAATATGTTCATAGCAAATCCACGATCGACTCATTTGCAAAACAAAATTCACATCAAATAAAAAGACATCACTCTTAGTCTATGTCCTATCAAGACTCATGTTTGTTCCAAGACATTGGTTGTTCCAAGACATTGGTTGTTCCAAGACATTGGTAGATAAAGCTGATGTTGATCTTTCACTGCATTGGAGAAAACAAAAATGGTAAGAACTTTCTAACATGTGGTAAATCACAACAAAAATTGTAATCTGTGAAGTGGTGTTGAGTTACCTGTCGTTGCTGCGGATAGTTACCATAGCCAGTGTAACCACCGCCATAGTACGCATTAGGATCCTGAGAAGCTGGAGGTGCATAACCATATGGTTCATAGCCACCCTGCTGCTGTGGAGGGTATCCATAGTATCCACCAGGACCACCACCGTTCCATTGGGCTTGATCAGGCTGTGATAACAAAGTTTTAAAGTTATGATTTGATAAATTAAGCATGTAAGATAAAAGAGGTACCACCAAACCAACCTGCTTGTTAGGACTACGTCCCCACGAAAGACGGATGCTTTGTCCACCTAATTGTGTTCCATTCAGCACCGAAAGTGCATGCTCTGCATTCGCCCTGAAGCACAACAAAGAGTTAAAGTATGCACGAAAAGAACTAGACGGGTTTGTATACATATTGAATGGCTGATATGATGTTTTCTACCTGTTGGCAAATTGAACGAATCCACAACGTTTTCCAGGAGGAATTTTCACATGAATTAGTTCCCCAAACTGACCGAAAATGGACTTCAATTCCTCATCTGTAACGTTAGCATCCAGACCTCCAACAAAAATCTGAAAGTAGAACGCATTAGACTTTGGAGGAAAGCAACAGAAATTAACAAACTAGAGATTTTGGAGGAAAGCAACAGAAAACTAACTACATACTGTTGTGTTATTTGGATCACTATCTCCAGCATGTCCTCCTTGAGTGTTTTGATACATAGCTGCAAATAAATAGATGGGTGAACTCAAGAGAGACTTAAAGTTCAATTGATCTAGAATAATAACTGACATGGTGAAAAATCTACACGGAAACTAAATTGCAGAACACAGAAGCTCAATTGAACAACGTTTGCAAAAATCAATCACATCAAAACCGAAGAAGATATCAGCACCAAAACCAAACAACATACAGGTCAAAAATCATGATCAGGAGAATCTGAAGTAAGTTGTACACAAATCATTGAGCAAAGATATCAAATAGTAAGTGCCTGTGGGAGTCAACACCCAGGCAAATAATTGGACCAAAAATCTTCACACATCATAATTTTTCTATTTAAGAAGCTTCTAGTAATTAACTTGCAGAACAATGGCTTCGCCAAGGTATAATAGTACAAATCTAGAGAGGAATACTATTATCAAAGAAAGAAAAAACTTCACCAGTCTTCTTAGAGAAGAGGTATTAACTTTGACGTAAGACTCAGAATAAAAGAAGGAAAAATAAGCTAAATAGAAAAGAATTATTTGAAAGTAAAAGCCTCAAAAATAAAATACTTCTAAGTGATAAGTAAGGAACTGGAAAGGAATGTGAAACTGTAGGCTAATAACAGCCACTTGTATGTAACTTCTACTGATAACATAACCAACTGACCTAAATGAGGCCACGCAATAAGGTGGTATCATTTTCAGCTGAAATCAGTTCCAGGCTCCCCCCAAAGAGAGCCACTTGTTCTCCTGCTTTAAGACAACATGAGCTGATTTTTATAAGTGGTTGGATGCTTTACAACATTAAAATTCATTTTAAGTGCAGAAAGGCAAAAACCAAAATTCCATTTTATACTGTTCAACAGAACTGAGAGAACAAACTTAACTAATCAGAAAGAAATACATCAACCAAAAAGACACACAATTACAAAGCTCAACATAACAGGTTAAAACACAAGCAATCTTCATACCACCTTTCAACATACTCACACTATTCCTGTATATAAAACATACCTGGTTGCATCTGAAGAGGATTCTTATTGGCAGCCGGACCAATACGCATAGGCCTGGTTGAGCAGAATTGACCATTCATCTCGTTCATGGCACGCATCTGCTCAGTCTCGTCCGCAAATCTGACAAAACCATACCCTTTGGACCTTCCAGTTCCCCTGTCAATCACAACTTTTGCCCCTTTGACAGTCCCATAAACACTCTTAAACGTATCAGTGAGCATTTGGTCAGTGACTTCAGGTGCAAGGTCGCCTACAAAAATTGTGTAGTCAGCCCCTTCAGTCTGGCGTCTCTCTCCAGCACCAGCCTGAGCCCAGTTGAGCCTAAACGTCTGTTCACAGCTCGGCATTTTAGCACCATTGTAAGTTTGCAAAACCCTCTCAGCTACAGATTGGCTGATAAACTCAATGAATCCATAACCTTCAGATTGTCCAGTCAGCTTATTACGAATGACTTTAGCTGATAGAGCCTGGAACAACAAAGAAAACACCAAACCATCACTAACCTTAAAAAATGAAGCTTTCTATTGCTATGAGCCTATGATTACCCTAATCGATGAAAAATACTTTCCAATCGTCTACATGATAACAAAAAGACTAAAACTACGTTGTCTAGTACGTTCTTCTCGATTTTCCCAAGATTTCATTATCAAGAAATGTAAAATTACCTCTCCAGATTGAGCGAAGATGCCCATGATGTAGCTCTCGTCCATCCATTGCTGCAAATCTCCGATCCATAACGACTTGACCTCGCCAGCGGAACCTGGATTCTGAGATCCAGCTCCGTACTGCTGCTGTTGACCTAGTGGCGGCGCCGACTGCCTCTGCTGCTGCTGCTGCTGCATCATCATCCACAACTGCTGCTGTCCCGATGGTATCTGTCCTGCTCCGGCGGCGTTTGACGGTGGCTGATGCATCATTAACAACGGGAAAAAAACCTAACTATCGCTACGGGGAAGAGAAATGAAAATGAAGCACCGAGCACGTCAAAAGTCTCACTTCCTTTATACTTAATAGTCATGACTGTATCATAGTGTGGGCTATTTCTTATAGGCCCAATTCTTTTAACTTTCATCTCAGCCCAGTAGTTGTTATACGATTGACCGGTTAGGTTCTGAACCGGCGATAAGAATAATCAATAATGATACTACAAAATATTCAAATTACGAGCTCAGGACGGAATTAACTAGTTGTCAATTTCACAAATCAACAATTTAGTACTGGACCGATGTTAATCTAAATTAAAATCAAACCGAAATACATAGTTTTTTTCATTGGATAGTTGTAATGCAATATACAAATCAACCAAGATTTTGCTGGATCTGGGAGTGTGTGACTAGTTCTTGATAAAGAATCTAAGTTTAAGATGTTGTTGTATAGATGAAGAAGTTTTAGTCTACAGTTGGATTTGTTCAGGTCACATGATCATTGTTCTGGGTTAAAGTTTGTAACAAACCCTTCTTCACCCTTCATCTTCCCTCTCCAGAGTATGATCTGCTCATCTTTGAACAATATGGGAACACATGGAACCAGATCCTGCAAATTTTTATCACAACATTGAAGTTCAACCATAAAGAATCTCGCAGAATCTGACAAAGCAAGTAAGAAACCCACTCAGAGTTATTTATACCTTTAGCTTCACACCGATTCGTTTGCAGTCACTCATCCCAACATGAGTGCAGTCTAGTCTCACAATCTCTTCTGTTTCGAACTCCTCTCTCACTCTTCCCACGACATTAACATAGACACCATTCCTAGCTGAATCCAATACATTAAGCCAATGAAAATTGAGGAAATACCAACAATGCGACCAAGAACTTTGCAACCAATGTAACTACTTACTAAGTTTCATCAGGGCAGGAGAATGAAGCCCGCGATTTCTCATCTCTTTGGTCTCTTCAAATGTTAACCCATCGGCGACTTTCTTTACCAGTCTTGGGTATATTGGTGGATAAGGCTTCCACAACATGAGTGGTATGATGGGACGATTTTTCGGATCATAATTCCTTCCCCGATACACAACTAGAATGTTTATGTGTCTGTATACAATCTTTCCACCAGATTTTTCCTGTCAAAAACACAACAATAGTAAGATGAGGACGACCACTTTCAAAAATTAGATCAACGGAAAAGAAGAAGAAGAAAACAGAGCCGTGTTCTTGAAATCTAATAATAGACACCTCGAGGTGAAGACATATGTTGTCCATGTCAAGAGTAGGTACTCCTAAGCATTTGATCCTCACTGCCTCAGCTTTCTTCCAATGGTTATGAATGTCATCTATCATGTTGTGAGTCACACCACCTTTCCCTGACAATGATACCACAAAAAAATCATAAAACCAGTTTGCTTGAATAAGTTTTCAAAGAGACCAATCACATGAGTTATTCAATGTCTCAAAAGCTCAACTCTTAAGATTTGATTATATAACAAAGTTACAAGCGATATCAACATAAATATGTAACAAAAAGAGTATGCAAACCATCATGATAAGAACATTCACGAAAGCTCTTAACTATGAAGCTGAATCAGTTCATCAACAAAACTAACTTCAAAGCTAAATAATTTAGGCAAAAAGATTTAAAATGGTACCGAGATTGATCTGCCGTGAACAATCATTATGCCGATACCGTTCAACAAGTTCCGTAACTTCCTCCTCTGTCAAAGGCTCGCCGAGAACTCTGGCTCGATCTTCCGCCCATTGGCTCTGATCAATCTCCGGCGAAGCCAGTGCGGAAGTCCCGTTCCATTTCCGGTCCAATCGTCCCGGTCCGAACGGAGAAAACCGTTTCGGTTCACGGAATCCAATTGGTTCAATTTCCGGGTTGGTTTCTGAATACGAGTACCTAAAATCGAAAGGGAGGTCTGAAATCGCCGGCACCGTCGGTTTATTTACCAGCTCCGACGACTGATCCTGCTGCGTTATCTTCTTCTTCTCTGAAGATTTAGCGGGTTTCGAGAGCGGCGAAAATGGTGGATCATAGTTATCTGTAGTTACAAATCGAGCTCGGAGATTACACAACAACAAAAACGAATCTATTGGCTCTTTCGCTAGGGTTAAGCTTCTGCGAATTGAAAGCATTCGGAAACGAAACACTCTCCACCTTCTTCGCTTACCGCTTCTCGTATGGTTTAATTTGGAAGCTACCAAAAGTTTCACTGACCAATGTATAGTTTCCTAATTTACATTTTGGTCCAGAAATATAAAAGTTTCCTGCTTTATACCAGACTAATTTTCCTTCTATTATTCACCACCTAATTATTTTCATAAATTTCAAAATTTGACACTAACTTTAGCATAACTATTAAAAGAATCATCTTTGTTCAACGCTTACATGTTGTTACAAATAGCAAAGTCATTTGTCTTTCAGATAGTTCTCATCTTTACATCTTCTTTGATCTTCAACCATGGATTCAAAAACATTCAACATATTATCTAAACCTTCAGGATCTTCTCCAATCTCCTTCATCGCGTATACTATACTCTCTATTGTTGACAAACATCCCGCTCTTGGCTGCCGCCGAACTTCTTTGTATAAACTTGTACCTTCAATCTCCAGTTTCACATGGAGACATAAAATCTTCAGCCATGGATTCTCAAGGTATACTCTTCTGGCCTTTGACCATGTCCCATCAAGAACAATCAGATTCCTTAGCTTCAACTCGTCTTTCTCTTTAAGATCATTGATCTTCACCGATTCTTCGCTTGGAAACAACAGTGCTGATCCCGGAGGAACCTCGAGCTCAAACTCTAGCTTTCCTTCTGAAAACTTTGTTACTACAAACCCTTTTCTCAAGACATCCATGGCGGCAGAAGAAGCCAATATATGATCAAAACTAGGATTCTCTACACTGGTTTCGAGCATCAACGAGTGTGAGAAATTGCTGATGACACCATGTTTCTTCATACACATTCTTATCAAAACTTCTGATCTACTTTCTTCACAAGAACCTATCTTATCTATAACCCGTGAATCCCGACAAGAACTTGCACCTAAATGTTGAGAAAGCTTCAAATTTTCAACAAATCCAAAGCTTCCATGATCAACAACCACCACATTCTTCTCAAATTCTAAGTTCTCCACATTGCCACTACCTAACTTTGAGCTATCATCAAGTTCAAAGGAAGCTCCATTCTCTACCCTATAATCAGAATCCCAATGGTTCGTGTCAATTTTGCTGCAACCCGATCCAATAACCCTGATTACGAACTCAGCCTCATCATGTACATCGAAAACAGTGGTCACACTAACATTCTTAAGCCCTAATCTAGCGATTCGAGCTGAATTAAGCGCGTGTTTTCTCTCAAGACTATGCTGAAGAATAGTAACACTCACCTCATTATCGAAACACGGAACTCGCATCTTCTTGCAGAGGCAGAGCTGGCTTGGTTTATCGCAGGAAGGGCAAGTTGGTCGCTTTGTCCCCATTTTTAGGGTTTTAGAAACCCTCACGCCGTGACACCGTATGCAATCGGCGAAGTTACTTCGAGACAGTATCAGCTGAGTTCGGGCCACGACATGGCCCATCATCTGTCCTGATAACATCACGCACATTATAGGAATCGAAAGCGTCAAGCTTTGCTAAAATTTCTGTACGAGAAAGATGAGATTGAACTCAGACCTGCTCAATCCAACTAAACCAAACTAAACCGGAATTAAAGTTTGAGATTGATGAAAATTGTGTTATTGTCTTCAAAGCCAAAACCAAATTACACATACAACGAAACACTGAAGTGATGTGTGTATCAGAGAAGCTTGAACCGAAACAACACCAATGAGTATGTTGAAGCTTTCAAAAGATAAAATTTTAATTTCTATTTCACTATTTGTGTGTATCACTGGATTATATCCAAACAGTTACTTGATGAACAGATGCTATACACCTGAATGATATATACAAACAGATAAAGTAATTGTCGAGTTTCAACGGTATTACATTAACTTTTTCCTAAAATCAAACAGACATCTGAAGAAGATAAGAGTTGAATTCTAGCAGTTATCTGGTCTGTTGTACTTAGGAGGCAGAGTTGGACATTGTTCGTTCATGTGCGAGTATGGTTCCATGGTGTTGTAACCAGGAAGTTCCATTCTGTATTTCCCAAGTATCTGGCAGTAAGGAAGCTTCACATTGTCATTGTCATTGCACCATGTAGGAAGACGACTTGCATTGTTCTCGAAAAAGTTAAGCATGTAAGCATCTTTGATCTGCAGATTGAAGGAAGAAAAAAAAAACCCATGGTCAGTAGAGTTTTGCGAGCAGGAAGGGAAAGAGAGACTGTGTATTGGTTCTTACCGTGAATTCCGTGACTTGAATAGAGCTAGCAAGTGGACCAAACAGACCAGCTTCTTTGTACATTTCGAGGATGAAGGCGATGCAAGAGGTTGATGGACCATCGCTGTATATCCAATCATCTTGTTCGGGAATTGTCAGTAATTTATCAAATGAGGATCCGCGCTTCTCTACTTCGACCAGCACATCAGAAAGATCAAGACCCTGCAATTTAGACCATGTTAGATAAGAAGAGAAAGAACAAGGACAAGGGAAAAAAAAACAGATTATAGAAGCAGATAAAAATGGAGAATCATATACAGATATCGAAGATAAAAAAGTACGGAAGAATCAATGTTAAGACCATCTCAAATGAGGACAAGCACTAGGTAAACATAATCACCGACGAATTATGAAGATGTTCAGAATTAACAATCGAACTGAAAAAGGCTTTTTATTGATGAAGGAGTAACAGGTCGTAAGGTATATAGAAACAAGCACAAATTTTAATACCTTTGTTCCTAGTCGTTTGTTCAAGGCTTCATTCCACATGTTAGCAGCATACTCAGGCTGCATTTTGCTCCAAACAGTCATGAAAGATGCAACCTGAAAGAGAAGCTCAAATATAATCCAATTAGAAAGTGCATTCATCCTTCAAGGCCAAAACTGTGAGAAATGAAAAAGAAAACCTACCAGATGAGCATCAAGAGGAGGCGGGTAGTTTTCACTAATAGTATCAATCCAGCTAAATATCAAGTTGTGATAACCATATGGTTTACCCTCCATGCTGCGAGCATATTTCCACGCTGCAGCAACGTCAAATTTAGCACGAACATCGGGATGCAAAGGTAGCAATGCGATCTGAGGATTCGAGTCATCCTTTGTTTGTTCAAATTCCCACCATTGCTCCCATGGTAATATCGCTATTACATCTTCTCCCTATAACCAAAAGAGAAACCTTCAACAAAAATAAATCTTGTTGTAGTTAAAAACTTAACTTTTGGGCAGTACTTTGAAGTGTAGTTACCTTTTCGTTTTCATTTCCTGACTCACCAATCCAAAGTTTCCCTTCAGAGTCTCTCAAGCAAACAGCGGAATGACCAGCATATGCCCCACTCACCCATTTCTCAAGGGTCTCAAAACCACCCCACCTCCCACGGATCTTTGAAATAGCCAGGAGATCACCAGATTGGATCTGATCAGTTGTAACATTTGTAACCCATGGTTCAGGGCGAGGTACAAAATTCGCTCCCATATGTTTCTCGAGAAACGCAAGGTTAGAGCTTTCCCCCCACCCAGTATTGGTAAAAAGAGGAAAAACATCCCACAGTGCTTGAAGTGTTCCTAACATCCCTGCATGCATAAGGAATATTGATACCCCTTTGTTCTTAACCTGATCCAATAAGTACCCAAAACGCATCAACCAAAGACATAGACATGAAATCCTTAAATGAAGAAACCAAAACAATATGGCAACAGAATTCAAACAAAACATAACAACAACTTACATATTCATACTCAGCTTTGCCATCCCACTCCGGAAATTCCACAGTATGGTGTCTCGAGATGAAGTACCAAGTCCATGTCACACGATACGGAGTTGCAAATACATAAAGATCCATACAAGTCCAACTATGCGCCTTATCCGCCTTCATATAAACACACAACAACAAAATCAACTTCAGAATCCATTGATTAGAAAATAGCTTCCCATCCGCTGCCAAAGTAAGAAACTACAGAACTAAGACAGATTGCTCCAAATGGAAGCCTCCAACATAAGCATGAAAACGATTTGAAAATCCAAAATTTTGAGTACCAATTAGAGAAGAAGAAGAACAGATACAATTCCGAATCTTCTCCAGAATTCCCGGATCCAAAACCCCTAAAATTTCTGGACTTAACGGTCAACAATAGTAGTTTTTGAAAAGTCAAAATTGAAGAGGGCCCAATATATAAACACCACACAACAAGCAAACAAAACGATCGCAGGTGACAAAGGAACAAAATCGAATCGAGTTTACTTCAATCTCAATTTCAATTTCAATTTCACCTTTATGTGAAGCGTGCCTCCACCAAACTCGCTACCAGACTTGTTATGGAACTCCAACATAGCAGTGTTCTCATAGAAACAAGCACCTTTCCACTGAACGGAATCGTTCTCTGAACTCGCTGTTCCGATGAAAGTAGGAAGCAGATCAGCGGCTCCATAGAGAGAGTTTAGAATCGGCCACGAGACTTGTCTCGGCAAATGCGGAAGCAAATCGCGAGGATGAAACGGCGATTTCACCGATTCAGCGGTTGATACAATCAGAAACAGTACGAGGATGGTGGTGAACAGAGAAGGAATCGAAGAAGACGATGATGAAGAAGACGCCATGTTCAGTTTTTCACTTTTTTGGGTTCCTAGTCTCTCCACGATATCAAACTCAAATATATTTATATTAATACAAACAAAAACAAAACACAAAAAGTCTGGAGAAAATAAAATAAAATAAAATAAATTGAAAATAATAATAACTTCCGTATCAAAGTGGCAAGTTTTATAATTTTGGAACTATTAATTTTATGCGGCTGATCATACTTCTATCATAATTATGTATATTGTATGAACGAAATTATGCATAAACTTGAGGCAGATTTTTTTATAATAGTGTAAGTAGTTTTTTATTAGAAAAATATAGATTTTAGCCCAAGTCAATGTATGATGTTTATATTTTGCATCTAAAAATCAAAAAAAAAATTGCTAACTAGGAAAATTAATCTCAGAAATTTTGGGATTTACAATCAGAATCATTTGATCATTTTTTATAAAACTATGTTCAGAATAATATGCATACGTGATTTAATTAATAGGTTGGATATATAGATTATAGCCTTAGAGGATTGATTAATTTGTTTTTCCTTATGATGTCTCTACGTATGGACACAAATATTTTCTTTACTTGAAAAGATCTATAACGATTATGAAAATATATTTACTGTAGTGTGATTACAAAGAAATCAGTTTGTCATGTACATAATTTCTTTCATATCATAACAGTACTCATCACATCATTCAAATAATTTTAAATACAGTATATTATTAAGAACAACATTCTATATGTAACTACGGTCATAATGTATAGATTCGACCATCAACGAAATATGCATGAGCCACAATTGTCTAACAACACATAACCACGATAGAGAGAGGATTTAGCGTACACCGCAACATACACGGATCAAATGTCATAATCTAGTTACGTACGTTGCGTCGTCACTTATATAACGTGTACATAGTTGAAGTATGTATGCTTTAAGTGGCGTGCAAATTTAATAGTTACGTTGTCGCCGTTTCTTCCATTATAAATATTCTAATTACAAGACAAATATGCGAATTTTCAAACCAAACGAAATCAAATACTTGGTTAAGGTTGTTTACGTACGACATGATCCGACATGCATCATCACAAATTAGAAACTTTTCGTAGGTTTTCTACAATCACTTGGTCTCCGTTAGATTAAACCGAATCAAATTATACAACTTTTAGTTCTAATTTGTTATATATACCATATTCCGAACCAAACCGAAATTTGAAATGTCCACCCCTTAAGAAATGCAGAACAATTCTTTTAGTAGAAAATCTGGATTTCTTAATTATATGTTGTATGTGAAAAGAAATGATTCGTGATACATACATATGCTAGAAAATTTTAAGGATAACTATATGCTACAAAGATTTTGTTTCTTCATGTATATATTATAGATGACAAAACACACACGAGAAAAGAGTGAATTGAATTGAGTATACACTAAAGAAGAGTCGGTACGAGTTTTTAGTTTTTACGTATCAGCTCCATGATGCATAAACATAAGAAACACACTGGAACCTGTTACCCAAAAAAAAAAAAACAATGAAACACAGAGGAACCAACGGACGTGTGCCATCTTTATGACCATCATCGATCTTTATAAGAAAAAAAAAAAAAAAATCTGGTATTATATAAACTTTACCGATTACAAATTTACAACCATCATAAATATCCAACTTAGGTAAATGAACATACTTCTAATAATAAATAGACATCTTCCATAGTGTCTGACTCTGAAATTATCGAACCAATTCATAAGAACTCAGTCCAGAAACTGTTGTCCGAAGCACACATTTCATGAAATTGAGTATAAATGAAAACGTTTTAATTATAATAATGTTATATATGAAATCAATATCAAAAATATCAGAGTGGCGCAGCGGAAGCGTGGTGGGCCCATAACCCACAGGTCCCAGGATCGAAACCTGGCTCTGATATATTCTTTTGATTTTTTTTTCTTTTATTTTAAGTGAACCTAGTAGTTTCATTTTATTTTTTGTAAACCGGTGAACCGGATTTGAAATCTCAATTTTGTATAGCCAACTGTAGATGGGCCAAAAAAATTCACTTTCTCCTCCCCCAAAGTTCAACATAAACTGTTTTTACTTGTTAACTTCATCTGGAAAGTTAATAAGGTAAATTCCATTACCCATACTTGGATTGAACTATTGTATTGAGTATTGACAAGAAACAAAATTTTGTATAAAGTTTTTAGTATTATATAACAACTCTCCACTGTGTGTATCTGATGTGTAGCAATTCCAAGCCGTTAAGAACGTCAAAATCCGATGCCCAAATTAATCCAAAAACTCTAATCTAAAACTTTTCTAGTGAGAACTTTTAGCTTTTACTCTCTCTCTCTGGCCTACGATCCAGATACTCCGGTAGCTTCCTTGGGAATCAAGAAAAGAAACATAACAGGAATATAAGTGCATAACACTTGAATGGCTAATCCCATAAACATATTCTCAAATGATCCTGAAGATATTCCCAGAAGTGAAGCTAATCCTGCTCCCATGAACGACCCGACTGTGTTTCCTAGGTTGTTTATCGACATAAACAGTGCAAAGAGTGTTCCTTCGATCCCAGGAGGACATAGACGACCAGACAATATCAAGAACGGCATGAATCTGCCGTTTAAGCAAAAAGCATGCTTATGAGATTGTAAATTCTTCAAGGTACGTATTTTAGAGGAAACAAAGAAGGAGAAAAGCAACGTACTTGAGTTGATTGATGGCATCGCCTAGAGCTGATCCGAAGAGCACCATTGTTTTGTCTGAAACTCCGTAGCCTACATTTGCTCTTGATACTAGAACCATATCTAGGAGTATCGTTATAGACAGACCGATGTGAGCAAACCTGTGATGATGTTTTTATTGATTAGATCACTTAAAGAAGGAAATTATTGAGATGCAACGACGTGTGTGGGAAATATCTAGACTTACAAGAGAGACTTGCGTAGAGTCATATTTGTCAGATACCGGTTGTAGATAAAGGTGCCAAGCATGAGACCTAACCAACCAACAACACGGGCTGTTCCTAGGAATGAAGCATCCAATTGCAAGACCTCGGTTTGGTAATAGAACATGACAGTAGAGAGATTTGGCACAGTGATATGCGCAATGAAAAACCACGCCATTGGTCTGTAAAAGTGGAGAAAATTAAATGAGAAAGAAACACTTGACAGCGACTTATTCAAGAAAGTGTATCGAATATAATACCTCAAAATGATCGGTTGCTTGAACGCACGGCCCAAACCAAAAGTGGCTGCTTTCAGTGACTGGAACCACTGTGAAGCTAAAGACTTTGATTGCTTCTTCTGTGTCTCAGACTTTCCATTGGAAGCTCCTTTTTTACCTTTCTTCTGTCCCTTCCTTCTTCTTATATTAGACTTATTCGTATCTCCATAGTTATCATTGCTCATCTTGCTTTTCTCTTCAAACTCGTTAGAATCCAACAGCTCGGGCAGTGGTTCATTGTTAGCAGGGAATTCTTCAACGAGAGTACATGATAGTAACTGTAGCACCGGTAGTACCGTGAAAAGGAGAAATATCGTTTCTATCTTCAAGTTGGTCAATGCATAGCCTCCTAATAGACTACCGCATATTCCTCCCACAGCCATAGAAAACCATGAGACAGACTGAAGATCTCCAGCAAACGAGGACCTGAATAAACAATTAAACTAACGAACTAAGTACATTAAACTATGATCCTACGTGTGTTTCCAAAACTAAAGCAGATAGAATCTTACTTCTCTAGTCTTACTGCCTCAGCTATCATAGCATCTACCACAACATCAGCCATGGCTGATCCCAAATTTTGTACAGTCAAGAAAATCATCAGATAAAGACTGGAACTTCGAGAAGTTGAATCTAGACCAAGCAAGAGCCATGGCACAAGAGAAAGCACAGTCGATATCACCAAATACGGCGTCCTCTTTTTCCCTCCAATTGGGATACAATCTGAGATGATTCTACCAAAATCACAAGAGAAACAAAAAAAAAAGCATGTCATTACTACAATCCAAGACTCACTGTCAATTTAGCTTGAATTCATTTATTGGTCACGAAGATACATACCCATATAATGGTTTAATGCTCCAAGGAAAAAAGGCTACAGAAAAGACAAACTGAGAAGCTGATGGTGATAACTGAAGCCTGTCTTTGAGCTGGTATGAAACAGCTGTCCACACAAACGATCTAAATCCCTATAAATCCAAAAAAAACAGCAAATCAATTTCCCAATCCCCGCAAAAAAAAAAAAAGGAATAAAAAAAAACATATTTCTATAGCTAATCCTAAGCTCCTTCACCATTAATCACCAATAACACGAAATTATCAAAACCAAATGAATGGTGATCGTCTCAAAACACGCAAAAACAGAGGAACGTGTCAGAAGTTCCAATTTGAAAACATCCTTAAATCTTCGAATCCCTAATCACATGTGATTCACGAGATTACGATTTCGCGTAATTAGAACAACAAATGACAAAATGATTCCTTGCTTAATCTATAATCTGCAAACGAGACTGTTTCGTCTCAACGAGAATCGCCATTTTCAGATGAGGCAAACGTAAACGAGCCAGAGAAAGAAAGATTCCAGAGATTGAAACAGACCTGAGTGAAGTAAACGAGGCAAACAAGCCACAGAAACGCGACCCCAAACGCCGATCGCAGCTGCTTGAACCAATGTATCATCATCTTTTGAATTGCAACAACAAATGAAAACACGTTTCTTAGCTTCTTCTACGGTTCATCAGAATCGTGTCCTCCTCCTCGTCTCAATCACGATGTTTTTTAATTTCCCAGATTTATGGATTCCTCGTCCAGAGGGACAATTCAATTTTTCAGTTGACTGACGCAAAGAATGACGATAAGGATACTATGGTCTTTTCCTCTAATAAAAGCGCGAGACACGTTGTTGATCCTATAGCATTCGGACACGTCACTAGTAGGACCTATTCAACATCATCTGTTCTTTTATCTTCCCCGTCACCGCCTTGTGAGACTAGTCTACCGTTGACTTTGACTACGACTTTGCATAATATTTACCAATTTTAAGGAAGATCCATAATAGCAATATACAAAATCCAAACTTTTTGTTATTACATAGTACAGTCTTCCTATTGTTACAACTTACAAGGACCTTTTTTACCAAGAGTCTTTAAATCAACAGTAAGAAGGTGCATATTGGGGTCGATACACAAACGGTTTCACGGCATGGAAGTAACCCGAAGGACGGTTGTAAGTGAATTTGATTCCGGTATTGGCTTGATGTAGGCGGTTGCAAGGCGTGTGGAAGCTGCTTATGGGTCTTGCAAGGCACGCGTCCCAGCGTTCGCTCTCTGGCATTGTCTCTGCAACTGTGTAGACACCTTTTGAATTTGTGAAAGCTTGGTAGTTTACAACTTCTCCTGATTTGGTTATGCAGAGAACTGCAACCTCAGCTCCTGTAAACAAGAACGATTGAACAACAAAAACCAACTCAATAATGGTTTACATAATAAAGCAAAGCACTACAATCTACTAGCAGAATGGTGATATGACTTCATCTTCAAAGTAAACACAGCGAACCAAGTGGCTTCTAAGCAATCCCGGTTTATAGTTTTCGAGTAGACAATTTGGAATATGAAGCAGAGTGGAAAAACCAGTAACACAATCGGATAATATAAAACAAAACTAGCCGAAAACACAAGGATGAACAAACTAATTATGCAAGAGATGAAACAAACCAAAACCATAATACGTTCCAAATTTGATTCATGTAATTATAAAACAGAATATGAATCAGAAAAAAGTTGATAAGATCTCACATAGAAGAATAACATAAATCAACAAAATCCATTAACACTCTCGGATAATTACATAACCTAAGGCAATAACACAAGGATGATGAACATACCAAATTTATAAGTTCCAGAGAGACAAGAGATAGTAGAAACCATAACTCACTATAAATTTGGTTCATGCAATTACTAAAACCAAATATGAATATGCAGAAACTGCAGACAAACACTTACATAGATATGAACCATATTCTCAAGAAAGAAGAAAGAGCTCCAACAAAGGTTATAAAGTGAACTAATAGACTAATCTGTATAACCAAATTAATGTTTTCCGAGTCCAAAATTGCAGCAAGTTGATGCTAATGTATACATCCACACCAATTTGGTGTGTGAGAATCACTAGAAACAACTGCTGTCGAAATAAACAGTGATCACTCTGAAGAACCACAATTGAAACGTGAAGCCATAGTTCTACACAGTTAAATCCAAAGAATTTACAATCGAACATCTAAAACCTGATTACAGAAAAGGCATAAATCAGACAGAAAGAGAAGCTAACCTTCAAGAATATGATCTTCTGGTCCGATTGAAGAATCAGCACAAACATCACATACAACTCTACCACGAATCTCGCCAGTCCACGCGTCGACATCAGAACCTTGTAAGATCGCAGTCATCACAAACAGACCCATCACGAAATTTCTCAACTTCGAATCCATGAAGGCGAAAAGGTCTAATCTTTTTAATCTCTTCGCGCTTCTCCCTGAGACAAAAGACAGAACTTGTTACTGCAATGGCCGGAGCTAAAGCCACACACCTACTTCTACATTTTGTCGGCAAGAACTAAACGTTCTAACTCAATAAGAGAGTTCCAAAACTACCAAAACTTATGGTCTATTTGATACCATTGATAGCTAAAGGCTATAACTGTGATAAACTCAGAGTTTAAGGATTTTAATATAATTTGCATATTTTTCTTCTTGCTCTCAAAAAGTAAAACATTATTACTATCCGAGTCCGATAAAAATGATTGGAGCAATCTACTCTACACTGTAACCAAGGAACGTTGACTAGTCGCTGCTTGATCCATCACGATCCACAAGAAACCTCAGATTTCAAAACCAATTAAAAGACCAAAGTTTTGATTTTTATCCCCAATTCGTATACCTAAATGTTCAATGCTGTTCTTAAGTCTAAATCCAGTTCTATCAATTACATCGTCGAGGTTCTAAAAGTTTTGAAATTTGATACAGGTTTGGCTTTCTTCTGCTCACTTGATCGTTTATAAATCGGTAAGCTTTTTGTGTGTGTGTGTGTGTGTGAATCCATTGTTTTGGTGCTCTGTTGAGATAACTAGCTAGGGTTGTTTTTAGTTAGGGGAATTTGTGAATTTGACCTTTGTTTTCTGGGATTTGTTTCTTCTCTGTTGAATGTGACTGGTCAAGGTTAGAAGAATCATACAAATGTCTCTCTCATGTTTGCTTTACTTCAAATCACTAGTTTCTTTACCTCTATGTAACTCTTGTGTTTCCCTCCTGCTTTAGATTGATAGAGATTGATTTTGATAGCAGAGTTGATTCGTTTCTGTGATGATGACATTACATTGCTTCAAGTTCCAACCTTCTATTTCAATCAATCTGCTAAAACAAGTAATAAAACTTTTGATAAAGAGAACCAGTGATATAATAATGATGTGCTTCAAGCTCTTATTCAAATGTGTCATCTCATGTATCTGTATATAGCTGTAATGCTTTTCTTCGCAGCTTATTCATATAGTTAGAGTTTGATCTTAGTGCTTTAATTCCATCTTTTCTTTCTCTTACATAAAAACACTTGATAGGGCTTGAAACTGGTATACATATATGTAGCTCTTTTTCTCCTTTATTACTCAGGTTCTTGTAAAACAAAGACTTTCTTTAGTTATGGTGCGGTAAATACAATTGTTTTGTTCCTAGAGAGTGTGCGTGCAAGTAGCTTGTGAAGAGCTTTGCAACATCGACTCAGACTGCTCATTTCACATTACTGCTATCTATATAATTCTTAGTTCCTTCAAATTTTGTTAAATTAGAAACTTTAGCTACTAAATCGTTTTGCTTATATACCCCAATTTGAAAACCATGTGATCATCATTTAAAACTGCAAAACTCTGGTGACAAGTGGTATATTTTTGTTTGGTGCTTTGGTTTTCTGCTTTTTGATATACTGCAATAAGGTTACTGATTCTTCTAGATTGATGCTTTGTTTGCTTCTTCTGATTTGTGAACAGACCCGTGAAGCCGGATAAAACTCAAGAAGTTATCACTCCTAAAGAGTCGCAGAGGTAAGAAAATTAACAAAAATTCACAATGGTTCAGAAGCTTGAAATGATCAAAGGTGGAGGAGGATCGATAAAAATAGGAGCAACAGGAACAGTAGCGACTCTAATGACTCGAGAGCTAGACTCCATGAAACAACCTTCACCACAGACTCCCACAACGAGACCCATTAGAACAACAATCCCTGTCTCAGTAGACTGTGGCACATCTTCTTCAACTCCAAGAAGAACAAAACCAAGAAAATCATCAGATGAAGCTAGCAGCAGCAACAACAATAATGTTCGAACACCAAAGGGACATAATGCCAGAAGCAATCATCAGCTTTCAATGCTTGGCTCTGATAATGTTAGAACACCAAAGGGTCAGAATTCCAAAAGTACTCATCAGCTTCCAATGCTTGGCTCTGATAATGTATCGTTGCAAGGAACCCCGAGACGAGAGAAAAGAATGAACATAGTGGATATTGTGGATGTGAAATGCGGGAATCCAGATCGAGCTTGGGCCAATCCAATAACCAGTAGGCTCAAGAAGCTTGGATTCTCTAAACTCAACGAAAGCATTGGTTAAGAGCCCCGCAGACTTAGTCCGATACTCTGGCAAATCTGGTTTGTATAATCGGGTATGAACTGATTTACACTAAAGCACAATATAAGCTTCTTTTCTTTTTGTCAAACCAACAATGTAATTGTAAACGAAGCTTTGCTCATTACATTCATTTTGTGTTTGCATCGACCAGTTAAATTAAGCTACTAATGTCATGTCTCTAGGTTCATCACTCTAATTTTTTAGATTTTTTAGCTCATTCACCTAAACTGAAACGACTATGTTTGCCTCCGATATGTTAGTAGTAAATAAGAGTAGATGAAACTGAGCTTTCAAGGACTATGGAGAGAAGAAGTAGCTTTGACAAGTCGAAAGTCTAGGTGCGTAGAACACTGATGCAGTCTCTTTGTCCTTTTACAATGCCGATTTTGGTAAATTGGAAAAAAGAAATTAAAAAAAAAAAAAACAAGAAATTAAATAAACTTTGGTTAGTTAGGACCAGCCACAACATTGAACTTGAATGTTCGGTAACAAGCACCTATCATCATGAGTTTCACAAGTTGGATCAAGTCTCTTTTGATGCGCATCCACGTGGTCCAATTCATCAATTGGTTCTTTCTTAATCTTTTTTTTTTCTTCGATATAAATTACCTTATGATACATATATTATGCTCTTCAGGTCTTATGTTAAATCATTTGTCTATAGTTTCGAACTGTATTATTTGATAAGATGTTCGAATTTTTCAAGATTTTTTTTTTTAGTATATATAATTAAGTTTTATGATAAGTTAGGTTGAGAAAACTATTAAATTATGAACAAAGTGTTGAGATTAAATATTATGTGATGTTAGACTCCACCAACAAAGAAATGAATAATCTATATATCATCAACCAACTCCAATTACAATAAACATATATACTTTTAAGCAATTCAGAACTCTTGGAAAACAAAATATGTGTTGTATTGTAATTCGAAATAAAAAATATAATATAATTTGGGTGGCTCTAGTGGTTAGACCATTATCAATACATATATATTGGACCATGTATAAAGGATTAAGCAATTATAAATTACACTTTTGGAACTATCATCTAGACGAAGTTTCTGATTGAAGATAAAGATTCCATGACATTATGACAGCAAACACGTTATCTCGATTCTTTCTAAATTTCTAAACAGTACCGACGTCGGGAAAAATATCATCTAAAATATCAAAATTGTTTACGAAAAAACGTCCAAGAGATACAAAAGCTATAGCTTTACTATATCATGGTCTCGAAACAAATACGTATGCGACTCTTCATCGAACCCGGTTTTGATTTGTTTTAAGGCCCTAATATGTATTGAGGTATAATAAAACATGAAAACTAAGAAATATTGCTGAACTGGTCTAGAGAAGTACGTAATTACCAAAAAAAAAGAAGCGAGAAGAACAAGCCAACGGATTCTTCTATATATTGTGAGTAGGTTTGATTGAAATGTCCTCATTTAGCAACTACGTACGTACAAAGCTACGACATTAGTATATTTTTCTGATCGTTTTAATTTTTAGATTCTATTGATCTTTGATAGTAGTCTTTATAATTTGCTTACGAATTCATTGATGTGGCCAAGAACATGGATTTATATATAAATGTTAACTAGAATGGAAGTAAAGCATTGAGAAATATGAATAATAATAAATTAAAAGACGAATGTGACAATATAGAACAAACCAACGGGAACTCCATGGATGGTCGACCACAAAATGTTTCTTTTTCATTCTTTAAGAAACTACTTTTGTAACCCATTTTTAATAACTAAAGACAAGAAAACTAAAATAAAAAATAACCAAAATTGTTTCCTTCAACAAAACGCTTCTCAAGATTCTCGTGCTTTGTGTTTCAAAAAATGGAGTTACTATTAAGAAACGGCTTTATCCTCTTCAACAGCAACAGTCCTTGTTACTTTTAAATTCAATTTTATTATCATTTCATTATATATCCTTTTTTCTACTCACATATACATTAACATAACAATTTTTTTTGTTAGAATTAATAGGAATAACCAAATGACAAAGCATTGTAGGATGCTGATGATTATTCATCAAGATACAATATAGATGAATAATAATAATATTCAAATAAGAACAAACAGAAGAATGCTATATCAACAGAGATTAAATTTTTGACTAATAATCAAAAATGTTGACAAAAGAACAAAAACATGGAATGATAATCTAACTAGTGAGCAGTGTGACACGCACACTTGGGGTTTACTCCACGAGGAGATTATCAGCTCACGAATTGACTATATTACCCTTCCCTCACAACACGCAAAGAAGTTATAAAAAAAAAAAAACCTCATCAACCTAGGGGTACTTTAGGTATTTCAAGAGACGACGGGTCAACTACCACCAATCCAATATAACAGATAACTTCCAATATACACAGTAACATAAAAAGGAAAGCAAGAAAAAAAAAAGAGAAGAAGATGTGAGCTTGTGAAAAGCCAAAAAAGAAAAAAAGATTCACAACTCTGTCTCTCTCTCTCTCTGTTCTTTCTCATCAATGGCCGAGAAAATCAACGATACCGCCGGAAAGATGACTCCTTTCTGCCGGAAAATAGTACACGTGAACGTAAAATGGAGAGTCATCGAGAAAGTATCCATCTTTGGAGATTTTTTCAGGTTTCTATGGAGAAAACTCGTTTCTTGTTCAACTATCATCGAGAGACCTATTCTTTACCGGCGTATCGTTCACCGGATTTCTTCCACCTCCGGCGATATCTTCGACGGAGACGTAACGACCGAACCGGCTGTTTCTTCCGGTAGAAGGTTTGGTTCAGGTTCGGATTCTGATTTGGTTAGTCTCAAGATCAGCTTATTAGGAGATTGTCAAACAGGGAAGACTACTTTTGTAGTAAGTATGGATCATCTTTGTCTTAATCATTAATTACTGTTCTATTATATTCACGTACTTATAAGTTAACTAATTACAACTCTCTTTTTTTTAAGATCAAATATGTTGGAGATGAGAACCAAGGTTTCTTGGAGATGACGGGTTTAAATCTGATGGACAAAACGTTTTATGTTCAAGGAGTTACGATTTCGTTTAGCATTTGGGATGTCGGAGGTGAGTGCAAATTAATACTTATAAGTGACTTATATATTCAAAAAAAAAAAGATAACAAAAAAAAAGTGAAAAACTTATAGTATAGATTGGTGATTAGTTAGTGTGTTAGATAGCCGACTACTATGTTAATATTTAGGAGATTAATTATGAAATGATTTTGTAGGAGATGAAAAGAGGTCAAAAGATCATATACCAATAGCTTGTAAAGACGCAGTAGCAATCTTGTTCATGTTTGATCTAACCAGTCGATCCACTCTTAACAGGTTTTTTCTATTCTCTTTCTTCAATTATCTACTAAAAAATGTGATAATCTATATCTTCTTTTTTTTTTTTTTTTTGTAACTCGTGTTTCTTTTTTGTTTTGTTTACAGTGTCTTTGGGTGGTATAGCAAAGCAAGAAAGTGGAACACGGTACGTTTTTTATATATCTAGTTTTGTTTTTGGGCAAGCAAATCAACCAGTCACTTCCATCAGTTTTTGTTTAACTGGATAGATTAGATAGATCAAAGTTCAATCTATTTATGTTTTGGTTGATTCCTCTTTAGTCTTTACTTTAGAAAAATAAACAAAACCAATTTTAACTTGAGTTGTTCCATTATGGACCGGTCATGTACTAAACAAAACTTCCATACATCTGTTTCTCGATGTCAAGTTTTGATTCGTTTTAATCAGAAAATTGATACTTCAAAGAATTATCAAAAGTTTATTTTTATTTTGTACAAAAACCTGTCGTGGTTTTTATAACGTCTTATAACGTCTATGTCTTGTTAGCACTTGGAATCAAAGTTTACAAAAATATGAAAAAACCAACCATAAATAATGGTTCTTTTCGATACATAAATTTTTGTATATTTTTGTCTGCTTTTAGTTTCGACCGAGTATTCTTATTAGTGGGATGCTTAATAATGCTTTATACAAACTTTTGGAATCTGATTCTACTTTTTCTCTGAATGTATCTTTATTATTTGTGTCTATTTTTCTTTGATCAGACGGCAATTCCAATTCTAATAGGAACAAAATTTGATGATTTCGTTCGGCTCCCACCCAATCTTCAGTGGACCATTGTCACTCAGGTATACCAATCATACAACTTAATCATATTCAACTTAGAGACCCTTTTCATATTTTACGTTTTCATGATGATATATGGATTTTGGGGATAAATTATTAATTTATTTGTATACAAAAATAGTTAATTGGGGTTTTATTTGTATATATCAGGCAAGAGCTTATGCTAAGGTGATGAACGCATCATTGTTCTTTTCAAGTGCGACACACAACATAAACGTAAACAAGATCTTCAAATTCATTTTGGCTAGACTTTTTAATTTGCCTTGGAAGATCGACAGAAACTTGACTTTAGGTGAACCTATCATCGACTATGATTCCTAAATTAGTCTACTACCATTTGTTTTTTTTTAATATAATTATTAACCATTTTTGTACATAAATTCTTAAAAATTAGTCTATAAAAGAGTTACACAACCTCAATTCTATCTGCAATTTTCCTTTTTATAGACAAAGTAAGACACAAATGACTTAAAACTGAAGCTGAACACTAAAGAGTGAATGCCTCGAGTGAAGAAAAAAAACTCAAAACTGATTGTGTAGTATATATATAAAGCTCAAATTTGCTCAAAGGTATACAATTCCTAATGCATAGATACAATATATCGACCGTTGCATTTTATAAGTAAAAGACAAAACTCTTCTTGTTTCTTTTTCTTGTTTGGTAATGTAAATAAAAAATAAAGATGAATCTGAAGAAGAACAAAAAAAAGTAGTTACTATTATTTCAACGGCTCTAACTGAATTTCCATCCTCCCTCCATTTCTATCTTCATCATCTTTATCTCTGAAACCTCCTCTTGAGTCTATTAGATCAATCGAATCATCTTCGTCAACATTCCCCAATACCCAATTCCCTCTGCTCAGATTCCTTGCTCTTATTCTTCCTCGTTCCCTGTACTCCAAATACGCAACAGTAACCACGCAAAGGAAGACCCATAGCCCGAGAGCCAAGTTCAGCCCGTCTACGTTTTCTGCTCCATTCCGTTCTCCCAGATGTTTCATTCCAGTGAATAGCGCGACAACCCCTATTACAACAGCTGATTGACCGACGATCGAATGAGAATACTCCCAGATTAACCGCTTCGAAGAGATTAGTTCTCCTTGGGCGGGTTTTGCAGGCCTTAGCCAAGCGTTCACAGGCTGAGCGCAAGCCAAAACTATGGCTGTGAAACCAAATTTGACGTGGGTTGAACTGAAGCTAAAACCGTTAAGCTCAGCTACTGCAAATAGGAGGCCGAGGAAGACAATGGCTAGTCCTGAACATTGGAGATACATATGTATCTTGAACCAGCCATCCCCTTTTATGTGTTTCAGGTATCTAGCGGATAATATCCCACCAGGAAGCAGGATTCCCCAAGCAAGGAACATCATGAATCCATGAACCCCCAGGACTGGTCTTAGATCTTGATCTGCTTCTGCGGATCCACGTGTTAACATTACACGGACAGGTCTCTGACTTGTAACCGAGTGCATGTTTCTCTCAGTCAACTGACCATCTGTCCATTTAGCCCCCATTGCCCATATCACTTTAAGAGGAGTTGTGGGATCAATCATATTCTTACATTCTGGTCTATCTCGATGACTGCACGACGGTTTTAATGGACGGGTAAACTCCAGTGTGATGATACCCTCTTCGGATTTGCATCTCACATATGTCATATTTTCGGTTGTGGGATGCACAGCTGAAGCGGATTCTCCATCAATCCAGTAAGTATTTACATGCCCTGTTCCGTTTCTATCAAACCAACCAACATACGCATAGCTGTTTGTCATTTCGCTACCGAAACCAATTGCAAGATAACCACTTTTCTTTTCACCACGAGCTGCAATCGATATCGAATCCCCTACTATGGTCCAAAAGAACTTAACTTGCTGATCATCTAGATTAACACTGTTGTTGTACATGTCCGATAGCCCCCCATCAACAACCTGAACCTTCCAACCCATTTTCTCTTGAAAAATCGAGTGATAATAGAGTTCGTCAGGTGTATTTCTATTAGGAGCCCAAACCAGCTCTGACGGACTCGCCAGTACTCCATGAGTTTCTTGCCCACCTGCATAGATTGTCTCAGTTCTGTTCCTTAAAGAAGCATTCCCACCAAGAAAATCTGAAGTTATGTAGAAAGAAACGTCGTGTCCTGCTTCTATTGAAAACTTCACAGGAACCCCTCTTTCCACTTTCAACACAGGCGCTTCTTTCTTGTTAATATACAGAACCTTCGAAGGGTTTGGAGGGTTCGGATAATGCACAGATGGTCCAGCCGTGACAATAAGAGGTGCATTGGCATCAGCAATGATCACATCTTGATCATACTTGTTGTCTGCATCTAGTGGTCCCAAACATTCATCCACATGATCCGAAAGATTAAGTGAAAAATGCCCAAAATTTTCTGATTCCACACCGCCGTGATTCACAGGAAGATAATAAGGATTAATGATATCTGGTGGTTTTATCACCCCAAGTGCCCAAATAACTGTCAGGTTTACAGTTGAATTCACAGGAAAATCAAACTTATTATCACTATCATTCAAGGGTCTCCTATACCTAACAAAAGAAACTCCATCTATCCTATGCCCGTAAACAAGTTTTGTGTTATTCACCGAAGAACCAACTGAATCTGACCCTTCATACACAGTGTCAGGACAAACCCCAGAAGCTGTACCGTCCTTCACAGAGCACACACTAGACTCCGTGATATAAAAATCATCAGCAAAGGGGAAGCCATCCTCTCTAATCCCAGTAACCACAACATCAGCATTCAACATCAGGTTCGACGTAGAATTCGGCTTAGCCCAACCAAACGCCATGTAGTTCAGCAAACCAGTTGTAGCCTCAAGACCAATATCAACATAGCCTTTTTCTGCATTCAAGCTCCATCTGAGCCTATACTTATCCGAAAGTTTCTTACAATTATCAAACATGGTAGGAGCCTTAAGGGCCTCGCTGATATTCGATTTCCCCGGAGCAACATCTTTGCTCTCTGAAGGAGGTGACCCAGCTTTTGCAGAAGAATTACCCAATTCCGTGGCATTAGAGAGCAGAACATGACCAAAATCAGAAGCAGTAGGCAAATCCCAAACCGAAACCACTCCTAACTTATCCCAAGTAACATTACCCATCAACTGAACAATAAAAGAAGCGTTTTTGAATGTCTGATTAAGCTTCTGATCAGAAATAACGAATCCATCATTAGTCATATTCTCAAAACCAGAACTCCTTGCTCCCCACCAATGAACATCAGAACCAGAGAGCATATCAAAACGAGAAACCCTAAAAGAACAATCATCAACAACAGTGAAAACCCCACGAAGCTGGTGCTGCAACATCATGAACTCAGACTCGTGCCCAATCAATGAGCTCGAATTTGAGCATTCTTCTCCATTTGCAAAGAAGAGGAAGAAACCCAACAGCACGAGAGACCCTAGAAAAATTGGTCTTTGATCGCACATGGTGTTGGGTTCAAATTAACTCAGAAATACAGCCAAACCCAGATCTGCAAACACAGCATATAATCAACTCGATGAAGCTTCTGATCTGAAACCAAAATCACAATTCCGATCAAAACTCTACATTTTTCTAAAACCAACTTGGGGATAAAAGAGCAAAATTCAAAAACGAGAAAGCGGAGATTTGACCTTAGATTTGATATACAGATCTTTTCGAAATCATGAATGGGATCCTGCAGATTTGAAGAAAGATCCGTCCTTTGCTTTCGATTTCAGTCTGAGAGAAGTTTCGTTATTTTCTTCTGATAGCCAAAACAGCTTTTTTAAGGATCTCTTCTCGCGAATGTGGTTGTTTCTTGCTTATGAGTTAAAAATATTTTAAATTGACTAATGTGGTTTTTTAAGTAAGCTATTTTATATTATATGTTGCTTTTGTTGAACCATTTCGATTACAAATATGGTAATTTAACCAAAGTATATAAACATTTGATTTCCGTACACATGTGACATGTACTGCAAATCTCTATCACTACAATCTCTACAAAATAAAAATAAAAACGTTTTAATTTTCTTGTTATTTACTTTTCCTTTTTTCACAACTCTTTATTTTTCTTTTCTTTTACAAGTACAACTCTATATGCCGTAATTTTATATCATTGTTCATTCTTGATTTCTACAAAAAAAATATTTTCATAGTTTATATAATGAATCCGAAGGGCGATCGGTAAAATAGAAATGACAGTGTAATTAGAAAAAAGGTAATGAGAAATGGTGATAGTACAAATGGCAATGTCAATGAAATAATGAGAAGAAAAAGAAAACATTTAAGTTATAATATTTATTTTCTGGTTATATCATAAACTTTAAAGATGATAGTATGCATTGAATTCTTGTTGTATCATTTTTAAGGGTTTAAAGTTTGTTTCACGGTTTTATACAAGAGCATTTGTGGTTTAGCCTGTCGGAGATGGATTTCTATTTGCCAGGTGTTGGGAAATGTTTGAACGATCCAACGTAAAGTAAAGAGGCGGTCTTGAACACAAAAGGGAATACAAATTTTATTTATTATAGCGGCGCGGTTTGATAAAACTGAAAGACAGGACAAACACATGCATAGAGATAGATAAACACTGAACATAAACCACAATGTAAGAAACATGTGCACACACACGCATTCGGGGCTAGAGTGAGATCAATGACCAGGTACTCCTTGTGTGCCTTCGAAAGACGTGTAGGGTATAGGAGGAGTAAATATTTCGGGTTTACGTCTACAATTAAAACAAGGTATATGGGGGATCAACCGGCGAGGATCAACAAAGCCATTAGGATGGTAAGTGTCTTCTCCACCTGCACCACCCAAAATGCCGTACAGATTATATTTGATGATTTTAGTGCTCATTTGTCTATTCAAATGCGGATAAGTTCCAAATATGAGGATTAAACACAACTAAATAATAAAAACTTAAACTAATTACTTAAAATGATGATACTTAATGACCTCGGAACATCTAAAAAGACCAAAAGACTCACTTTGTTTCTTGGCTCCCTCTTGTGCGCCAAGGGCTTTATCCATATGCGGAAACACAAGAAGAAGAAGGAGAACGAGAACCATGGAAGACACCATTGAAGATTTCATCTTAATAATAATATTCCCTTTTATTTTTGCTTATTAGTGTCACTCATGCATATGCCTTTATATAGGCTAGGAAGTGGCAATAAAAGAAAATTAAAGATATGGTGGAGATATTGCAGAAAGGCTAAAAGACAAAGAAGATGAAGATATCAGTGAACTGTGTCTAAGTCTAGCGAGAGACTTAAAGCTTATAGCCATCGACGACTCATAGTTGTGTCACTTATATGAGTCTCCAAGTTTTGGAATCATTATTCTGTGAAAAGTCTTCAATTGCCAATTCGCCATATAATGCATAATGCATGTTCTCTGGTTTGTATATATGGGTCCATTGCATCACATTGGATTATCTTCATATTATTACTTACTTTCTTACATATTTCTAGCATCCTATGCTTTAAATTAAATCCGTAGAAAATAAAACTTACATTGCATTGGACTGTTCCAGAATACTTGAAAATTACTGCTTCTGGTACTACCAAATTTATAAACCATTTCTTCATCTCCAAGACTCCACAGTTTATGAATCTCAAATTCGATATTGTGTTTTTTTTTTTTAATTAGTCTATTTATGATCTAACAATAAATTCACACGTCAACTGATAATTTATAATCTGTAGTTTATAACAACTACACGACGTGTTTTCTCTTTCACTATAGGAAACAACCACTAATATTACATATCGTCAAGAATTCAAATATCCCAAGGATTGGTTTAAAAAAAATATATTATTGGAAAAATATCTATGTTAAAATGTTGGACTTGAGGATTTCAATTGGTTTTATATGAAAATGAAGACTATGTGTAAAGGCTTTTATTGTGTAGTCTTTTTTTTTTTTTTTTTTTTTTTTTATGATTTTAGGGAAAATTAGCATTATAGTACATTTTCAAAACTTAATTTGTGATATAGTACATTTACTATTCAAAATTGGATAAATAGACAATGGGTTCAATATGTGAGATAGATAATGTGTGAGATAGATGAGAAACTGTGGTATAGTGTAGTGGTGGTAAATTACAAAAGGGTAAATGTACAAAAGGCATCCGTACAATTCATTTGTACATATAATATGTGTACAGTTTGATATGTACAAATACAATTGTACATATATATCATATTGTACAAATACATGTATAATGCAATATAATAGTCAATATACATACAATTATATCTATACATATATCATTGTATATAGTTTTTATACATACATTTTTCTGTACATATAATAAATATACAGTTTGATCTGTACAATTGTATTTGTACATATATCCTATTGTACAAATACGTGTACAATCGTTTACGACTTGTATACTAATATTTGTACACTTATTAAGTTGTACAGATGTACATATGTACACGTTTTAAGTTGTACGGTTAGATCTGTACACTTAGTAAATTGTACATATCTAAAATTAATGAAAATTATTTGTTATTATCAAATAAAATCTTCAAACAAAATGCATATCATATAATAGAGAAAAAAACATAGATTTTTATATATTTGAAACTTGTAAAAAAAAAAAATTTCATTGACTAGTATTTTAGTTTTTAGATTGAAGGGAGAATGTAATTAAAAAGAAAAAAGAAAAAAATATAAATATTAATTAAAAATCTGAGAGGAAAGAAAAATATAATTTAATTATATATTAATGGCATTGTTGTAAATAAGATGTTTTGGTGAGGATTAACAAGGCAAAGAAATAAAATAGCATAGTAAAAATGTGGATTTTGCTAATTGTAAATAGTAATTGTACTATTTCTACAATTATGTTTCAAAAACTGTCTATTTCTCCAATTATTCCATGATTTTAATAGTTTGGGCTTTTTGGGCCTTTTTATAATTAAAGATAAAAAAATTTCTTCCAGTTAATAAACGATAAATAAATAAATAAAATCTGTCCCTTTCATCTTCCTTCTCTTGAGGCTTGACATCATCGATTCATCTCATAAGGTGGATACTTCAATAATTTTCAAAATCAGTTTTTTTACAAAACACCATTTCTATTGTTAGAATCGATTACCAGTTCAGTTAAGTATGGTTGATGGTACACATACAGAAATCGAAATACGAAAGGAAGTCCAAGAAACAAAAGATGCAAGACCGTAAAAGTGTGAATGTTAGTTTATATATTTTCCAAATATGCACTGCCTAACTTGAATGCAAAGGTTATCAAATATTTCGTTTTTACTTAAATAGGACTCGATTAATGCGGCAGTAGGCAAAATCCGAACCCATGAGGTAACGGGTAACGGGTAACCCGTTACGTTTAGATTCATTTATGAAATTTCGGGTTAATTTTTTAAAAAAACTTGACCCGAAAATGCATTATGTACTCCTCTTTTACTAATATAGAGATCTCTTCAAAATAAAAAGGTTTTAATTTTCTTGTTATTTTTTTTAACAGCTAATTTTCTTGTTATTTAACTTTTCCTTTTTTACGACAGTTTGTTTCTATCATTTTTAAAAATTTATATGTGCCTAAATTTTATTTCATTGTTCATTCTTTATTTCTATGAAATTTTCTTTTCATAGTTTATATAATGAATCCGATTGGTAAAATAGAAATGGAAGTGTAGTTAGAGATACTGTAATGAGAAATGGTGATAATACAAATGGCAGTGTAAATGAAACAATGAGAAGAACAAACACATTTCAGTTATAATATTTATTTTCCTTTTAGTATAATGTAAACTTCTTTCTCAGTAATTTTGTTTTTGTTACCTATTTTCTGGTTATATCACAAATCTGTAAGATGATAGTATGCATTGATTTCTTGTTAATTTTGTTTCGGGGCTCCCTCTTGTGCGCTGTCACGTTTTAAACCAAGGGGGTGTTATTGGATGAAGAATTTTAAAGGATTTTAATTACCCGTGGATTTTAAAGTTCAATAGCTTTTAAATACAATTAAGATGGATTTGATGTCATTGTTAGTGGACTTTAAAGTCATTACTAATGGACTTTAAAATCATTACTAATGGACTTGAAATTCATTACGAATGGACTTTATAATTTTAAAAATCAAATTAAAAGAAAATTAATAACTTACAAACTATGTTGTCGACCAAAACCAACCAAATTAAATAAATCAAATTACTAATGTCACTGAAGATATACGTTACGTTTCTACTGCAAAATCGATCCCTCAGCAACACATAATCAAAAACCATTGCATAAATCAGATACATAGACAAATAACCAAAGTGACACGTCACTCGTAGGACAATGATACGAACTCATGTTTTTTTTTAATAGAAAACAACAACTTAAATAAACTGCTACACTTGCAGTGGGACTCGAAAACACAAGTAAAATACACAATGCGACCGTGAATTCTCTGCGTTTACACTTGTTGCACCAGCCCTTCTGTTTTCTAAACCCTACACCAGTTTAAGACTGAGCATTACTTCTGTATATATACTCATTTCAAAGCAAATCAACACAACAGTTTAGATTGTCTTCAAGACTATGCATATAAAAGATGGGAAAGGGAACCATGTATATCAAGCTTTGAGAAATGAAAACATCATAAGCACAAAAAGTATAATATAATTCACTCACCTAGTGAAACTAACAGCGGCGCTGGTAATGGAGCTGCTTATCAGCGTGCTTTGCTAGCTAGTTGCATCACTCCACATTTGCTG